GTCAGAACTGTCTCCGCGCCCGATATTTCCTTCCGGATCACAAAGTTGAATGAGACGCTAATTAAGCTTGCAGGGTCATGGAGGTACCGCGCCTATTTGGCGGGACGCCAGAGAAACGGCTGAATGAGAGCCTGTTACTCCGTACTCTGTACTTCTCTTAGAGTCTGCCTTGCCTGTTCTGACATAATTTTTTTCTTGCCTCCTTACCCGCCTCCCCCATGGCACCTTAACGCCATGGATCCCCCAGTCCATCGTCTTGAACTTCGTCATTAGTTATTACGGTGACTTATTCCCCTCAGCCGCCATATACTTCGATTATAGCCACTCTATTAAGTTGGCTGTCTTGTGTTAATCCACCTTACCGCCTTATATACTCCTCTTGACCTCATTCTTCTTCAAGTTTCTGAGAGAATTAAGGAACACTCTAGCAGCGTGTTACCTGTTCTCTTCAGTTTCAAACTATTTAATTTTAGTCGAAACATTCTCATTTATCTATCTTTGCCGCTTCGTTTCTCTCACCATGCAGGGGACTCAGCAGTCATTTCTCATGGCCCCTCCAGATGGACGTGCTTCTCCTGAAACCACAGCCGGATTCAATAGGACGATTTCTTACCCATTCTCCTCACAAGCCTGTCTGGATGTGAATGTCGCCATTAGTCATTCCCAGCAAGAAGTAGGACTTGGGATCTACCATGGTGGAGTGGAATTGCCTTTTCGTCAGTTGAGGGATGATCGATCAGTGCCAGCGCCTCTGCATGGCTGGCCTGACCATCCCATATCGACACAAAGTTTCTCCAGTCCGCCTTTGAGTGCGGGATATCACCCAGTTCCATCTTATCAGACATACAATCCCTGTCCTGCGGGCAATCCATCTTTGATGGGCTGTTCGGGCATTACCACTAACGACGTGGTCTCGCTGTTATCCTACAGTCCTGACGTCCGAGTTCAAGAAAATAGTATCCCAGTTTACCATCAAGTTTCGGGAGAATGGCCCGTTACGTCCCAGGCACAGACTAATACGCCATCGAGGGTTCAGATGAGGAACGTGTCTCACATTCCGTTCTTCTCGGATGCGCATGGTGAAGAGCATGCACAAGGTATCCCGCGATACTCTGCTAATCAAGCGGCAGATGCGTCTGGTGATGGTAGACTTACAGAGCTGGATGCAAACAGCGGGTCGTCCGTCGAAGGCTCCGCCTCCCCCGAGTCATCCCCGGCGGGAACGACGAACAGGAGGAGATCAAACAGGCTCAGAGGCCCCAGACGGTCTGTGTCGCCAGGGAATGTCAAGTATCGGTGTACCGTGTGTGGCAATATGTTTACCAGACGGTCGAACTGCCGCGAGCACATGAAAAAACATGATCCTAACCACAGAAGAGAACACTGTTGCAATGACTGTGGGAAATACTTTGGACGGAAGACGGATCTCAAGCGTCATTTCACTAGCACCAGTGTCAGTCCAACTTTTTGTTAGGTCTATTCCTCTAAACGCCATGCTAACGATCTTTTGCAGGTTCATGACGGGGTCAAACGTTTCGGTTGTGAATACTGCGGACATCGTTTCGCTCGTCAGGACGTTTTATACAGGTAAATTTTGCGGATCCGAATCCAAGTCACTTCGATGCGCAGCAACTGACACGGATATGGTAGGCACCGCAATGATTGTCGGAGCAAACGACATAACGTGGATTCTACTCAGCCTATTTGTGCCTCCCTCTAACCGCGGTGTAACGCTTCCTGCGGCATAGTCCTGGATGGCTAGCGCAACTTCCTGTCCAGTTCCCGCATTGTACGAGCAAAAGACTAGACACAACATTGCAGAAGCGGCACAGTGAGATTCGGAAGGTTCGGTGTGCATACCGCTCCATTGCCTCTTGGACAGAGTTCGGATAACGGGTATCCATGTGTATCCACGGAGATATCAGTATCTTTCGGGAATTTTGGCATTGTATCGCACATCTACGTCCCTCGAGCTTGGACTTTTTGGTTGTATTACGAGACTTTGGGGTACAAGCGGAGATGGCATTGCAAATCGCTTCTTTTTTCTTTTTGTCTTTCCTTTGTCTGCACACAACTCTCATTTGCATGTCCCATGCATCCATCTAAAGACAATCTAAAGTGAATTTCTCTTCTTTTAGTTTGTTGAATTATTTTTGTTGAGATCTACGTCTTTGGGGGCCGAATCTGAAGGTCTTTCTTGCATGCAAATCAGTGGATCGATAGTTCACTGATGCATTGAAATCATGTATGAGGGGCTGGAGCTTTGCCCCGTAAAGTGTGGAAGCTGGCTTCCCTACAAATTTTAGACGTCGTGTTGGTTTGTTTACTACTGTTTTGTTATCTTTATTTGGCATTGCATCTGAATATTACCACGATTCTTCTTGCTGCTGACTTATCAGACCGGCATCATTTTGCATCATCGTTGACAATGTCGCGCCGACCCCGATGCAAAGTCGTGCAGTCAGGGCGGCCTAGGCGCCAAGTCTATCATATCTTTTAGGTTAAGAGGTACTCTTCATTGGGAAAGGGTATGTTACGCTGCGCGTGTGAGCTCTTAATCATTGGTCTGGGATTTACTACGAAGACTGCCTTTTTTTTTTCCGGCTTTGTTTTATGCCTTTTAAAGCGCTTGGTTAGTCACTCCTTGGCGCCTGGGGATTCAAGCGAAGGCTTATTTGCCAATCCTTCCACTGGCGGTGCATCCAAGTCACGCGCAAAAACAACACTATATCGATCTCGGGCTCTTTTCTCTTTACAGAGTAGGGCACCGTTTTTAAGACAGACGGGGCGAGACTAATACTCCGTACCTTGAACTCATAAACATCCTCAAATCTGGTCTCGTCGATCCGCTAGCATGAGTTCCGGCTCGCCTCGAGACGTGGCTATAATCAAAAAGGGTTACAATTTGAAGAACGAGTGGGCCGTGGCAGGAACTTGGACGATTATTTAGACACTTAAACGTCAACAGACCCTGCATCCAGCAGCCTGGAGCTCGGGAACACGATCAAGATTGCCAAATTGACCGCCTCTACCCAGGACAAGTTAGCTCGGACGAACTATGGTGCTGACATGGGTCCGGAGTCCGGAAAGTCGTTATTAAATTATTAATTAGACCGTCCTGGGAGCAACAAGAATTAAGACAACCCTGATCGTTATTAAGGGACCTCACCATGGCTACGGAGCCGGGAGCGTTGCGTACGTAGGGAGACCCTGTTCAGCTGTGCTACATCCGGTGTAGCTTGGAGCCCAAATGCGACCTGTAATGCCACTAGCAGCAAAGGAGGGCAGGGGTTTTCGCTTTGGGTCTCCCAACACGATTCACGGGTGAGCGTATCGTTCGTATTGGTTCCCGGTTTGCGTTTTCTGGGTCAGCCCATTCCAGGTAACCCTACGTCGATGATCCAGGCTGGAGCGGCTGTCTCATATCAACACGTCAACCTCGTGGCAGCTCCTGACTGGGATGTTGGCCAAGCAGCTGAACGGTGAGGCAGCCCTAGGTCTAATTGTCAATTACCTAACAACGGCGCGCGTCTAATCGCAATTTTACTCTGTATTAGGTTCAACGGCGCCTGGGAACAATGCCCTGTCAGGCTTGTCATGCCTGCCGCGCCTGTCAGTTCCGGGTGCCCCCATCGACTACTCCATAATGCGCGGGGGGATCGCGGCTTCGTGTGCGATGTTGAAGATCACTGCGAGCACGGTACACCAGGCGAGCCGGGCCGGCATCTGGGCTGGCTAATTTCCACGCCTGAGACCCTGAATAGGACCCTGAATAGGACCCTGGTAGAGCGTGGCTTGGACCGGAAAAAACAGCCGTCAAACCGGTGGCCTAATAATTACCCAGAGCTATTCCGTACAGAGATTGAGGCCACGTGAGACAAGCAGATTCTCCCCGACACTCGATCACATAGAGTACTCCGTACAAGTACGGATTACTCTCTACGGTGACAACTGATGGAGATTGGAGCACTCTGTACTCTGTACGGAGTACATGCATGCACACTGCAGTTTCACGGCATCTGTCAAGCCTGCCACAAGCAGCAGGACACAGATATCGACCGCTTTCCCGATCCCTGCACAGGTAAGCCAACCAGCGCCCGCGATGACCTGTACAATGGGGGCTAGGGAGCAGCGCTACCAACAAGCCTTTCGTCCAGCGTCTTCTGACTGGATTAGGATGGAGCACGATCAGACGACACCCTGACGCAACCCCTGGATAGTAACCGGCTGGGTATTATTCCGTTGGACCAGTTGGGAGTGCAGTCTCCCCGGCCTGCCAGGATCTGCAGGACCTGTGAAGAAGAGCAGAGGGTGACAGGGAATATACTCCGTCCTACATACTCCGTAGGGTTATTTGGATTCAAATTAATTAATTAGCGCGACGATTGTTGGTCAATGGAGGGATTAATACCTCATAGAGGGCAGGGTACGGAATACACGATGCTAGCTAGACACTATTCCATCCATACATATCAGAAACCTAAATATAATTTATCTTCCCGGTATACCCGTAAACTCCGTCCACTGCCCTACCGACGTGAAGGCAGATTTTTGGGGAATTATATTGTGACGATGATCCCTCGGTCTAGACACGGAGTACCCCGAGCCCTAACTTGGCTAAATAGCAGTTCCAAACGTTCCAAACAAGTCTTCAGGGTCAAACTAACAATGTACGGAACAAACTAGTCCTGTCTAGACTCCAGATCTCCCCCCACCCCGAAGGAGTAACTCCGTAGTAGTGCTCAGAACGGAGAAACTACTACGGAGAAACTAGCTAACTATGTTGCCGATTAGCAGTAATATAGTCCGGGTTCACGAGACATGTCAAAAAGCGGACCGCGACAGCCATGATTTAGCGTCCATAGCTAACCTGTAACTTAGCTGGTAGTGGACGGAATATCCCCCTTCCCTAAACTCTATCTGGAATATGCGAAAATATGCAGGTTAAAGAATTAAAAAAGTGACAAACAAACGACTTAAGACTGACACCTCTATGATATGTGGGGGACCTAACTTTTAAGCAGTATAGAGTAGTTATTACATGTCGTTCTGTCAACCGTTATAATTAGAATAATGCACAGTACATATGTGGTGGGATTTTGCCGTTCATCCAAAAAGGTAAATTCACGTTCGTTCGCGACATGGCACCTCTTTGGGCTTTACTATTATTTCTATTATTGTTATTATTCTCCTAACCTTATTACCTATAGAGTTTGAGGCCCACTGACATGGATATGGACGAGATCATGACGTATGTCAGTGACAGAAAACCATTAGGGGATTTACGCGGATCCCAAACTGGTGAATATAAACTAATAAAGTAATCTAATATTACCATATGACAGGGTTGAAACTTTCAAGTTAAATTGGAAGCGAAAAATTAAAAAAAAAACCTTAATTGAATAGTTACCGTTTTATAGGATCATGCGCTACTCCATATATATGGAGTAATAGTCATAGCAGATACTTAGGCTGTTTCAAGATCCTGTCAATTGATAGACAGGTCATATTCCGGGCAACTGAGGATATATATTTGGATTGACTGTCTCAAAAAGAAAAGGCTTTCTTTCTACCTACATATGTACGTAGGCATATCATTATTAGCTTCTTAATATATCGGCTTGTATGTACTAATCGTTATCAATTCTTTCTATTCCAGATTAGGTTTACTACATTGTTCTTTAATATGTACAGTGTAGCTAGTAGCTGACTGGCTGATATGGATATTAAAAAAATGAATTTGTTATAAACACATCAGACATGTCATATTTTTCACATGCCTGGGGATCCATGTCAAGTCGTATTATCTTTTATAATAGCGTACTCTGTAAAGTGTGTAGATTAAATAATTAATTCCCTGAGATGTGAAGGAGTAGCTTTGGTGCGATTTTTCTTTAAAAACGAAAAAAAAAATAACGCTTTTGTTCCTCTCTTTTTTTGTGTTGGGATTAAATTAATTGCAACAGCCTGTACGTAGCTGGTGATTGAAGTTTGCGCCCATAAAGATACTTCCTAAGTAATGATTATGAATTTTTGATAGGACTGCATAGTACATGCTGTATTTATACTTACGATAATAACTAGCTCTTCAAATTCAACAGATCTTTACTTGCTACAGCATTACATTATTGATCTTGGACCGTACTGCCTTTTATCTATATATGCTAAGCTTGATCAAAGCAAATAATCTAGACGTTAATGCATTCGTCAGCTAGGCGAGAAGCAACCGAAGTATCTTCCCAGATTGTCAAAAAAAAACTCCGCTTTTTTCGACTCAATCTCTTAGGCATTATCTGTTTCCAGTCGTTCTATTCTTACCTAGTAGGCAATTGTATGTAGGCGGACAAGCATCCTTGTAACGGAGCAAGATGCCAGACCACCGATTCCAAAACAGTTAATTTTGGTTATCATATGCGAGACATCAAATAAACGGCGGCTCAAAGGTCAAGAGCGGGAAATTCTTGCATACTTGACGATATTCTCGTGGCGTTTGCATGAGTCAGTTATATATTAATTTATATTTGACTGTGGGCAGCAAACAGGTTATTTTTAAATCGGACAAATCAAGTCACAAATATTAATTTCCAAGAAATGTTTTCTCTTCCCTCTCATGGGAATATTTATTCTGTTAATATGAATACGAGCATCGAAAATGATCAATCAATTCAGCCCTGAACTTGATTGATTCCTGTGTCCATATCCTCCGAGTCGGTGGGGAACGACCTGTTCTGCCATCCCTCACCGCTCGACCGGTTCCTGGCCACACCCCACGTGTTGGCCCACCAATTAAGGGCGTTATTGTACTCCGTTCGGAGAACCGCTCGTGATAACCGTTCATTTCCTCTCACTCCCCGCCAATTGCTGTGACCCCTTTTTTCAACCCACCGTCCAAGATGAGCGCCACGACGACAGTAACCCAGACTCAGACTATTACGGCAGAGAACGTCGTGACGCTCTTCCCGGACGTCGACACTTCTCTGGCCCGCTCCGTCCTGCCCTCCCCCAACAGCAATGTGCGATCTGTCCGCGATGGCGGGGAGCTCGAAGGGTACGATGAGGAGCAGATTCGCCTGATGGACGAGGTCTGCATCGTCCTGGATAATGATGACAAGCCGATTGGTAGCGCGAGCAAGAAGACTTGTAAGTGAGGCCACAATTCGTGAAATTCTCGCTCGATGTAGTTGCAGATGGAAAATTTGGAAATTCGAGAATATACTGGCTAACTTTTTTTCTGTGATAATGAATAGGCCACCTGATGACCAACATTGACAAAGGCCTCCTGCACCGCGCCTTCTCCGTCTTCCTCTTCGACTCCAACAAGCGCCTGCTTCTCCAGCAGCGCGCCTCGGAGAAGATCACCTTCCCGGACATGTGGACGAACACGTGCTGCTCGCACCCGCTGGGGGTAGCAGGTGAAACTGGCGCGGAGCTCGAGGCGGCTATCATGGGCGTGAAGCGAGCTGCGCAACGGAAACTAAACCACGAGCTGGGCATCAAGGCGGAGCAGGTGCCGTTGGAGAAATTCGAGTTCCTGACCCGGATCCACTACAAGGCGGCCAGCGATGGGAAATGGGGCGAACATGAGAGTGAGTTGGACAAAAAAATATCTCCGAGAGAGAGTAGTTGTGTGCTAATGGTTGTTTTTTTTGTCTGCTGCAGTTGACTACATCCTCTTCATCCAAGCGGATGTCGATCTCAACGTCAACCCGAACGAGGTGCGCGACACCAAATACGTCACCGCCGACGAGCTCAAGCAGATGTTCCGGCAACCCGACCTGAAATTCACGCCCTGGTTCAAGCTCATCTGCGAGACCATGCTGTTCGAGTGGTGGAGCCACTTTGGCACCCCGACATTCGACAAGTTCAAGGAAGAGAAGCAGATCAGGCGCATGCTGTGAGCCTGATTGCGTTCGCATCGGCGTTCCTTGCTTGCATCGGATGAAGTACCAGCCATTCTACATCTTGCTTTGTTAATATCATTTTTTGTGTTGTTTCTTCACTCTGATACCATAGTCTCATTTGACACTTAACCCTTATTGTACCTACATACGCCCGAGCCTGTAATATTGAGGCGACCCTGAGAATACGCTACGGCTGGGGCTTTTTTTGTACCTAGTTAATCCGTATTATACGCAGATTAGATAATGGCATCGCCTATAGCCATGCATATACATCCAGTAAATCAATTGGTGGAATTCAACTATGCATGTTATGTATGTACAGTACATGTATGTGTTGCAACCACCAGGGCGCTCTTTTTTTTTCTTTCAGGGAATTCCCCGTCTATCAACGAATCTTCTTCTTTTTAGACGGTCTCGCGTTCTTCTCCTTCCTCTTCTCCTTCAGCTGTCTCGCTTTCCGGATATCTTCATTACTCCGCAGCTCGTTCTTCGCCTTCTGGCTCGCAAGAGCAGCAGCACCTTCCAGACTAGCGGCCTGCCGCTCCTTGGCCTTTTCGAGCTTTTTCTTCTTCTTCTCGTAGTCGCCGCGCAGCTTGTCCAGTGGCTTGGGCGCTTGCTGCTTGTTGTGTCGGTATTTCCGTCCCGAGAGCGCCGCGTTCAGCTCGGCGGCCAGGGTCGAGTTCTCGGTTTCACCAACCCGCGGCAGACGGGCTAGTCGTTTGCTCTTCTTCCACTCCTCGAATCGTCCGCTGCGGAAGCTGGCTGCGATCTTGGTCCCGCTTTCGCCGCGGATGAGTGCAGTGCCGCCCTTGGATCCGTCTTCATCGTTGCGTCGCGAGACGTATTTCTTGTGTCGCTTATCCCAGCGCATAATGGAGCGCGGTTCCGCAAACCCGGCCTTCTCGTCCGCGGTCAGGTCCATAGTAGCATCCCGCGAGGCCTGGGCGAAATTCGAAGCAGAACCAGAGTGGACTCCATAAGCTCGGTCCTCTGCAAGGTTGTGATTAGCCGGGGTGTATGACATGAAGTACTCTGGATTCTGGAAGGAAGTTGTCGAAGTTGCATTTTTCTTCGACTTGGACTTTCCAGACTGCGAGTAGGACGAGAATGTGACTTCAAGCTCGGAGTCAGATGCCATGGACATATCCGCTGTGCCTTCAGCCGCGTTATCATTATCACTATCGTCGTCACTGGAGAACTCTGCGAGGGCCTCTTTGTTTTCTTCCTCACTGTCCTTTTGTGCGCGGGCTTCCTTTTCCGCAGCCTCACGCGCACGCTGCTTCTTGGAGTCCAGTGTGGACCGTACCCTCTTGATCATATCAATGGCCTCGTCGGTTGATTTCTTGCCGGTACGTCTGGCACCAACCTCGAATATCGTCTCTGGCGGGCGATAACCTCCCAGGCGAGCGAGCATTTTCTCGCGCTCAGCTTCCATCTGACTCGCTTCATCGTTGAAGAGAGGATGTAGTGCCATCCAATTATCAGAAGCGACCACCTCCTTCGCTCGTTTGGCACTCTCCAGTGAGGCGGCATTTCTTGTTCGCATGTAGAGCTTCTCGCCCTTCATAGCCACATTTCGCTGCGACTGGAGATCCGCTTGGTCATCTAAGAGCTTTGTGACCCACTCGCAATGGCTAGAAAGAGTATCCCTTGGGAAACTTCCAACAACCACGTCTTGTGCAAAGTTCACCTGCTCAGACTCTCGGCCCAGAACGAGTCGCCGTCCAAGGAAGAGCTGTAGATCAAGAAGGTAAGGAACGTCTGACTCACGGACAAGACTGTAACTCCATCCCTTTTGACCAGCTCGGGCAGTTCGACCAACACGGTGGACGAAAATCTTGGGCTGAGAGGGGAAGTCGTAATTGATAACGTTGGCTAGAATGGGTATATCGATACCTCGTGCAGCGACATCAGTAACGACTAAGATATTTGTGATACCGGATCTGAAGTTCTGCACCTGGATCTTGCGGGCCGTTTGGTCAAGCGAACCGTAGGCGTATGACACTGAGAAGCCAGACTCTCGAAGCAGAGACGTGAGATAGTCAACATGATGTTTCGTCGCCGCGAATACAATGGTCGAGTGTTTCGTCGGCGATTCTGTCGTGTTGATTGCCTTCTCCATCTCTGACCTCTTCCGCTTCTTTGAGTTCTTCTTTGAATTGGCTTCCTCTTCCTTTAGCCTCTGAGCAGCTTCTGTAGGCCCAGTGGGCATTTTGATGACTTCATGGAGAATATAGAGCAGTGCTCCTTCTTTCTCTGCTGATTTGACACTGAAAAAAGCGTTCTGAAGATCCGGAGAAATTTTGCTCTCAGTATCCAGACGGATAAGAGTGGGCTCTTGCAAACCAGCCTTAGCAAATTCAACGAGCGATTTCGGCAGCGTGGCAGAAAAGAGGAGGGTCTGTCGCGTCGGGGGCAGACCATGCAAAATCTCCGTCAACTGAGCTGCGAAACCCATCTCGAACAGCCTGTCTGCCTCATCAAACACGACGTATTTGATACTGGAGAGGTCCAATCCCAATCTCAACCTTCAAATGCAGGAATCGCCCAGGTGTTGCGATGACAATGTCAGGATTTCCCGCCATGAGGCCGAACTGCTCCTCCAAGCTGTCTCCACCAACCAGCAGTATGGCCTTGAGGTCTGTCCCCCTCCCGAGTTCTTTCACGACCTTCAGGGTCTGAAGAGCCAGTTCTCTCGACGGCGACAGGATCAGCGCTCGCGCGCCCATCTTGCTGCTGTGGCTTTTGAGCTTCTCGATCATGGGAATCACGAAAGCTGCGGTCTTTCCGGAACCGGTACGCGCCATGCCAACGACATCCTGATCGTCCAATATCACCGGGATCGTCTTGCGCTGGATCGGAGTCGGGACAGAGAATCCTTTACGGGCGATGGCCTTGAGGAGATTGGCATTCAGACCCATGGCCTGGAAACCGCCGCCTTTCTTGACCGTTCTGCCCTTGAGATTTGACGCCTTGCGATTGGCGGCAGCCTGCGTTGCGGCAATAAACGCCTCATCGTCATCGTCGTCGCCATCCTCGTTGTCGTCACCATTCTCAACTGTGTCGAGCACATTCAGGTTCTCCGCTGGTATTGCCTTTGGTTTCGGCTTCGTCTGGCCCCAGCTTTCCTCGTCTCCGTCGTCTTTGAAAAGAGCATTGGAAATGTCAAACTCATTTTCGGACGCGGCCGGCGAGGCCGCCCGGTGAGGCATTCTGCACTCTGTCTTGATTTAAAAAACACAAAGTGGTTGTAATCAATAATGCTTCACCAGTTCATGGATTTTTTTTACCAGCATCATGAAAACTTCAACCAGATCCGAAGGCGGTGAGGCACTGGCTGGGGAATGCTGCAAAGTGCAAACACAACAAACTCGGCTTCCCCGCGACGCGCCCCGACACGTCCCGCCAAAAAGAGACATATGGGCCAGACGAGAGGCACAACACGACCCTGAGCTCCATTGACACATTCACTGAGCGAGCTGCACATTAACAGGCAAAATGGGTGAGTCAGCTGTCCTTTGGTTTTTGCGGTTTTTTGTTTCCCTCATTTCTCTGATGCGTCTTCCACAGATGGTGGCTACGGGAATTACACCACCACCTCGTACGGTGCGCAAGGTGGCATGAGCGGCGGAGGATTCATGCCCGGCGAGATGAACAGTCCAGCTGCGGGGAGAGTAAGTCCACGTTTGCAAGAACTTTTATAGTTTCCTTCTATATCCAGCTCTGTCAATCTCCATCGTTTTCGATCCTTGCAATCGTCCGCAATTCCATTTCTTGCGTCCTACTAACTTCGGCCTCAGCAAGTGGACAACAACACACTGCGCCCCGTGACGATCAAACAGATCCTGGACGCCACGCAGCCTTACCCTGAAGCGAACTTCCAGATCGACGGCGCCGACATCGGCAGCATCTATTTTGTCGGCCAAGTACGCAACATCAGCTCCCAGAGCACGAATGTCACATACAAGATCGACGACGGGACGGGCGAAGTCGAGGCCAAGTTATGGGTCGACATAACCACCGCTGGAATGGACGATAACATGGAGGTGGATGGCGCAAAAGCGGGCTCGTCAGGGAAAGTCAAGGTCGAGCTGAACGGCTTCGTCAAGGTCCTGGGCAAGCTCAAATCGATTGGGAATAAGCGATTCGTGGCCGCGCACACTGTCCGGCCCTTGACGGACATCAACGAGCTGCACTATCACTTCCTCGAGGCGACGGCCATCCACCTCTTCTTCACACGGGGACCTCCACCTGCTGCTGGAGGAGCAGGAGCAGGAGCGGCGAAAGGTGCAGCTGCTGGGATGGGTGGTGGTGTATCTCACGACCCCTATGGCGCCGCTGGTGCCGGACAGGGACGCCCTCTGCCTGCCATGTCACCTGCCGCCCGAAGGGTGTACAACCTGCTGAAAAGCGAGCCGCAGAGTAACGAAGGTCTGCACGTGCAATTGATCTCGGCGAAACTGAATGTCCCTGTGACAGAGGTGACCAGGGCAGGAGACGAGCTGCTCAGTGCAGGATTGATATTCTCGACCGTGGACGAGAACACGTGGGCCATTCTCGAATACTAGCCAACTAGCCAAGCTAGCTACCTAGGGAGTCTTGCGCTGTTTGCAGATGTCTATCTAGTCTTGTTCTTTTGAACTTGCACCTACCTATGTTCACGTGTCGGTTGATTGAGAATGGGGGTAAAAAAAATCATTCGCGCACAATTTTTTTTCCTGGGGCTGGGTTTTGTTCCTATCATCTTTTGATTTTTTTTTCCCATCATGCATGTATATGATATCTGGGCGTTTCTGTGCTATGATTTGCAAGACTTTATTCCCGCCTTTTCTTCTTTGAGCAGGAAGAAATAGGAGTAGAAATCGAACAGCTCAGATCGGATCTAGATTCATGTAAATATGTAGATATGTATGCATATATATGCAGTAGAGTGGGAAAATATCTATCCAACTTCAAACTCTAGCTATAATTTTCAGCACTCTGAAATCAGAAAAGATGAAAAGCAACGGAAAAGAAAAAGCTCTTCGGTATGAAACATCCAAATCATCACCATTTGCTCGTAACAAATAATCATGCAATCATACGTAGATAGATACCTGTACGGTGATTTTGGGGTGGCCGGTCTACACATAGTTAGTATATGCCTTTTATATGTGCAAAAGGACTGTATGTAGTTCTTTCGGCTCGACGAGGCTTCTGGTCTGGAGAACATTGACTAGCCCATGGCGTTGCGCTTGCGAGCCTCGTCAACGGATCGCTGCCAGCTCGTCCGGCTGAGGAAGACACCCTCGATGCAGACGACGAGGAAAAGCGCGATGGCGACCCCGCTCCATAAGCCCATGAGGGACCAATTGAGCAGAAAGGTGGTCCCCATGCTGATCGGCATCGCAACCGCGTAGTAGCAGAAAACTTGCACATAGCCTCCAATTTCCTGCCGGCCCAGTCCACGCAGGATCCCGTTGCAGTTAGCGGCAAGGGAATCGAAGAGCTGGAAAGCTGCGCAAAGAGGTAGGACCCTTGCGACCATCGCAATCACTTCGTCGTCTGACGTGAAGAGCCGTGGGATATATGAACGCAATGAAGAAAGTAAGGTCATATTCATCAAGCCGACAATGACGGCACCGCTCAAGCTGACCTTCGCCGCGGTACGAGCGGCACCAACGAGGGTGGCGCCGATCAGGTTCGCGACTCGGGTACTACCGGCGATTGACAAGGGGAATGGAACCTGGAAGGTGAGGGTAGTAATGGTGCTCAGAATGGATTGCGCCGCAAGAACCGTCGTTCCCAGGTAGGAAGATGCCAGCGTCAGAAGCTCAAAGGCGAGACATTCAGCTTCAACCATGATGAGTCCCGGAAGAGCAAGGCGGATCATGGGCCCCCAGTTCTGTAGAGCTCTCCACGTAAAACCATTCCAGCACTCGCGACCAGCTACGAAGTAAACGTAAAGGAATAGGAATAATGGCAGAAGATTTTGTGTGATGGCCACGGCAATGGGGGCACCAATGAAGCCCCATTCAAGTTTCTTATCAAGTTAGTCGACAGATTGACTCGAACGAGAGACGGATGCGGTTCCAGTTACATACCCAAACGAAGAACCAATTCAACAAGGCATTCAACGGTGCACAGATTAGAAGCACATACAGAGATGCGGTGAAAATGCCCTGTGCCTGGACAAATCGTTTGCCGCTCTCAAAGCATGCATATCCAGGCGCCCCCAAAATGACCACCTTTAAATATCGGCCTGCGAGCATGGCAACCTCTTTTTCGGGTATGATAGTCACCAGGATCTTGTCTGAAAGGAGCCACAGAATGGCTATTGGGATCGTGACGACCCAGAGAAAATAGATCATTCGCTGCATTTGCAGCCCGACCAGCTTCTTCTTTCCCGACCCATATGCTTGCGCACACAGCGTATCCAAGCTGGTGGCAAGGCCCTGGTAAACTGCAGAACCGGTGATACTGACCGTCATACTGGCCAAGCTCACTGCACCCAATTCGGCCGTGCCCAGATGGCCTACTGCGAAGACACTGGCAACTGTCAATGAGTACTGGAGTAGAAAGGTCACCATGAGGGGGATCGAATATTTGCTGATGACCTGTGCTTCCCTCTTCCAGCTGGTTTGGATCAGGCCTGCCATCACAGCTTCCTCCCATTGTCTGTCAAGTTCGGACTGGTCAGCGGGACCAGCACGATCCGAACCTCTTAGCAGGGACGTCGTCTCTGTCGGAGGGGCATTGTCTCGCAGACCATTGCTGGGGGCCTCAGCCTCCTCATCAACCGCTCGATTGACAGAAGGCCTCTGCAAAAAGGTGGCACTGATCTTCTTTTGCAGATTGCTGCCAGTATCCATCCGGGAGCGATCCGATGGGATGATGTTGTTATCACTCAAGAGATCCCTCTCTTCTTCAAGAGCCTGCTCTCTCTCGTGACGAGACAGAGGTTGGTCTTGGTCGACAGAGTGAGGAACGACGGTGCCACGAGGCCCAGCCGTGAAGAAACTGGGTCGACGATATGAGCTGGCCAAGGAATGAGGGGTCGTGCCTAGCACGTTATTCACCGGACGCATCGTTGATGCGTCCGATTGTGAGTCATCGTCAGGGGAATCGGAGCCTTCGTCGTCCGCATACTGGGCCAGATCTCGAGCGATGGATGCTTGGGCCAGGGGTGAGCCGGACATGGAAGATCGACTGTGCGGATCTGATTGCTCAGCGGTGAGGATAGCATCATCGGGCGCCATTGTGAGTCAACTACACGAATGCCTCGCCCCGCACAGCATCAAGTCATTGAGATAGTCGAGTTCAAGGATCTAAACAAACCATCGTAGTCGGTACGATATGGGCAGCAATCGCACCAGACGGTTGCAATTGAAGGTGGAAGAATTGGGAATCTGGAAAGAATACCTGAGAGTCCGATAGTGACGAGAGGCAGAGTGGAGCAAGCGGGAAGCCCGAGTCTATCATCGGATTCCAGATTCAGAAGCTTTTCTGACGTGATGACCAACTCAATTTAGAAAGAAAAAGATTTCTTTCTGGCTATACAATACAATCTCTAGACAACACAATTTCTAGACAATACAATTTCCATTTACGCACCGCAAGACATGAATAATCCAATTGGGTACTGCTCTTCGAATGCTGATCTTTTTCTCTCTGCCGGTCGCCAAGAAGCAAAATGCGCAAGCCCCGCACCACACCGATTAGATGCAACTGTTATCGATGACAGACAAGGAAGGTCCATGCGGAGAACATCCAACCCTTCAACTTAACCTAATCTGTAGATCGCCATATAGTCACGTGAATTAATGCATCATCATATACTAAGTTAGCCTATGTAGGCAAATGTTATGTAACCCAGACCCCCTTGCATTTCACAGACTGAGTTCCTGCTCCTGAACTTCATGGAGTAGACAATGAAATTTTAGTGAGAAAATACTAAACAGTATATCAGGTGACTTGTAAACTAACCTATAGAGGAAATGTCACATGACCGAGAAACCTCGTGTTGGATTTTGTGCATTTTCAGACTTTCCGCTCTCAAGTTTCGGAAAAGTTGATTGCGGACAAAATGAAGGTTAGCCAAGAAGTCACATGACCATTGCCTCCTGCATGCCCAGGTGGTCAACCTCCCCAACCTTTTCAGGTCTAGCCTCACAACCTAACCATTCATTTATTGATCATGAACATGACCTCACCTAACCTCACTGCTTCCGTAGAAGCAATACAGCATGTGAATTTGGGACAGTTTGTGTATATGACATAAGATGTGGTGAAACATGTCTACCTTACAGCCTGATGATGAAGGCCCTCTGTGGCGCCGGTTTAATCCTTTGGTGAACCCGGTCAACTCAAGGCCTGTGATTGTGGAAGAGTAGGTGGTACCTCAGCTCTAGACTACGAATTTTTGCCCAGTATACCAGTTTTCTTTCCCTTTATTTCGATTGGAGTTTGCACTTTTTTTTGGCTGTTTATTTGCATTGAGCTTGTGTGCATTTCATTCTTTGTTATCACTCGTCTGTTGTTGCGTTAGTGCATTTTTCTCTATATATCTTTGATATGCGATATCTAATATACTTTCATCTTCTATTCATTTTCTGGGGCGTTCACCCCCTTCTTAAACTATCTGGCTCAACTCGAAAGCCTCCGCCTCGTTTATATCGAATGATACCAGCTGACAGAATGATAGTTATCCTCCTGATGCAGGCCCCCTCTTTCTCGCCCGTCCGCTGCTGGGCGCCCTCGTCTTAGAGAACAGCGCCTCAGACGCGCGCGATCACCTGGCTAACGAGAGGACCTTTCTGTCCTGGCTGCGTCTGGCTATCTATCTGGCCATCGTGTCATCTGCTATCGTCATATCATTCCATCTCCGCACGGCGCCCACAGAAACTGAGCGCCGTATTGCATTGCCGCTAGGCATCGTCCTCTGGTGCATGAGTCTGGCCTGTCTCGTCAGCGGGTTTTCCATCTATGTCAAGACCGTCACCATGTACAGTCGGAAGGCGGCGCTTGTGCAAAGCGGGTGGAAGACTCAGGTGGTCTATACCATCATCGCGATAGTCATCATTGGGAGTTGCATCTTGTTCTTGAGTACGAATAGGCGGTAGGATGGTTATATTCCACATGAGCATTATGGACTGATATAGTTCTTTCTGTACTGTACGTACGCTCGATATGTTGTCTCCTGTTAATAAAGTAGTTCAAAGAAACTAAATCATTACCCAGTTGATATATACTAGCAAAATGTATATACTTGGATTTATGTCTGATAATCGACTCAAACAGAAGCCGACTTGCGGTCTCTTTGATAATGTCGGCTGCCTTTTCCGCAATCACATCCCGGTGGTCCGGTTATTTCCTCGTGGGATCAGAAGGAAAATACTTGCGTCGACAAGGCGAAGATTCCGGGAGCTGTGGACTTTCAGTCGCAAATCCGCCACATCACCGACGTCGCAGGGCATCATGGCCGCCGTGCCGGATACATAGAAGTTCACCAGGACCCGGTCCCGGTCAAGCTCTCCTGTGGTATCCAGACTGCTGACACGTTGGTCATGGTGCAGCTGCTGGCCGCCGGGTTTGAGCAGGAACGCCATGGGTTCGGTGTAGGTCAGGGTTCCAAGGAGATACTTCCGGATGAGTCCTTGCAATTCTCCATCCTGCAGCACTGGCAGCAGCATGTATATACACAGAGACGGGGAGGCAGAGACTCGGCGGTCCGGCACCAGATTGCTGCCACGAAGCCAGAGCCGTCTGGGCAGTCTCTGGGTTGCGAAGAAGTGATTCTGCAGTGCTGCCCGTCGGCAATTCCCAGCTGAATGGAACTAATCTGTGCTCTTGAAGATTCTCTCCCACGTTAAGATTATGGATGACTGTTCAATGTCATAGGTTGGAGGAGTTTGGAGTGCACAGTTCCAGCAAATGTGGCATTCTTATGGCGCCAGATGTGAGAATGACCTCAGAAGCGGCAGATACTGTCTGCTGCACACCATCCTTCGCTGTGAACCGGACGCTAATAACCAGGACTTCACAATCTTCAGCCTTATTCAGGAGGATCCTTTCCACAAACGCTTCAGTGATGACACACAGGTTGGGACGCTTCGCAACCTTGCGGTCGTAGTATGCGATGCCTGCATGACCTGCAATCTGGTTGCCAGGTTAATTCTTTACAATCAACGATCATATTATATGGATCGACATAGCTGAGCTGCGTGAGCGCTATATTATAGCAGTTGGAGTTGGATCAATGTCAACGGTCTGTTGACATTGATCTTTCAGAACAGCAGAGCCATATTCCAGGTATCAGATTCTATGTACAGTCCACAACAAGCAAACATTTTGCTGACAGAACTTTAAATCTCTTGACAAAAAAAAGCAAGAAAAGAAAAGAAAAGAACAGCCCCAAGTATTTCCTAGTAGACTATGGGTTTGCGCAAAAATTCGTACTTTTCTATGGAGTGGAGGTTTGTCTCCTAGAAAGAGAATGGTCATGATCAGATAAATATTTAAAGAATAAAGGTATAGCCCTGTGTTTTCTTTTCTTTTCTTCTTCCTCGTTTTGTAACTAATAACGATAGACTTGAGTAACATGGCAATAAGTTACACTACTTCAGGCATAGAGTGAGAAGAAGAGTAGTGAGGTGACAAGAGGAGGGACGGAAGATGATCGATCTATTATTCTGACTAAGAACTATATAGAAGTACTTCTAACTAACAGTACTGAAAAAGGATAGTTAGTTATCGAGAACATCAGAATTCATGAGGTAAAAAAAAAAGACAACGGATTATAAGCCCAAATTCTAGAGGGAGGGAGTCCATATTATTTTATCGCGTTTCGTTGTTAAAGGTAATAATAATCACCTACTTCATGGTTTTGAACGCTTTTAGCTATTCCCTGAATCAGGTCATGGAGTGATAACTTGGCTAATTATCCTAGATTCAGTCTGACCTTTGGCTAATTGGAAATTTGCGCATCTATCTGACCATCTTACGTCGAACGAGCATAGCTGGTTGGGAAGAGTCAAGAATCAAGCATGAAGTATCAAGATTGTCGTCGTGTTGTATTTGCTTGAAGAACTGAGAACTCAGGATTATCTGGATTCAGTCAGACCTGTTTAACCATAGGTCCGTATATCTCATATAGCTTAGCATGACGAATATGCCCTGTTTAGAGGAGTCAACGATCAAGGATTGAGATGACTATGTCTGCTGTATGAGCTGACTTACTGATTGGATTATTATTTCTCTGGTTGAGAGAAGAGAGGCAAAAAGAATGACACTCTATTTTTTACTGGTCAGGTAGAGTACACCAATTGGAATCTGTTTCAAGCACTTGATGGTTGGAGGTATTTGTCAGTAGTGCATAAGGTAGGAGTCCTACATAGGTGGATGCGATATCACCTATGAAGCGAAGAGATTCACGGTTTTGGTCTTTCTATCCATCGTCTTCTGTTCTTGTTGACTGAGGGGTTCTAGAATTAGTTGAGATTGAGCATCATCGTCTCTCTCGAAGGTATTGTTCTGTGATGTTCCTATCCTCCTATCCTATCAGTGTATGGAGTATAGAGAGCATTGCTTCCATAGCGACAAGTAGTGACCATGAAATCCCGTGTAATCGATCAGTTGAATACCCCGCAGAAGAAGCAAGCCATTGCTATTGTCATGATCATTGCCTACCCTTGCCTATGTAGCTAGGGCTAGGTGTTACCAGGTAGAATTCCAAATACCCAGCTTGACTAAACCGTATTGGTGTAATTGGGAGTATGCAAGACCATCCATGCCTGCCCAGCGCAGCCGTCAGCCTTGTTGTGAGGTTGTTAGGGAGGTCGGTACCTAACCTAACCTACCTAATTTTTGGGACTGCCACTAATCTTTGGCGAGGTCTTTAATCAACCACGAGCGAATCGCTCGGAACTACCTATTTAAAAAAAAAGCTGCGGTATAATTCTGTTGTCCAATAATATCATACCTGTAGAGATTAAAAAAATAATAAAGTATACTCCGTTCTGACTAGCTAGCCTAGCGCCAAGTCTACAAATAAATCCCGTCTGTAGTAATCTCGTCTGTAGACTCATAACAAGGGTCATAATCAATAGTGATGATGATCCAAGTTATCCGTGTTGGAGTACGGAGTAATAATAGTTAATTAATTAGTCAATTGGAAGGATCATGGACGGGAGGAATTAATTAATTAATTGTCCGGTTTATTTGGCCCCTTTTCCTCCGTATCCTCTTTCACGCTGATATAGTCAACCGGAGAATTATTAGTAAGATCACCAATTTTGCGGGCTCCTAAAAACAGGACGGACCGCACTACTCCATAGGCAACCTTGGAACTATCTTCTCCTGGGGATGGAAAATTTTGGCGGAATAATCATCGTTCAACCTCGTTAAAAATCAAATTCTCCGTCAAAACCATCTGGCAAGAATGATTGACTATTCTCAGGCCTAACAGGGAAGGCACCACTAGCTAATCTCAAAGTATGGTAGCAAGTACGGAGGACGGAGCACTCCGTCCTCCGAGGTATGGAGTTATACTTCCCCATACAGACGCACTCCCTGATGACATTCTTTGGCAACGCCATTGATCACAAGTCAAGAGAATCATAATATATATCATAATATCGATAATATAATAATTCTGGTATCGTTCAGATCGTTCATCCCATTTTCTGCCTTGCTGCTCGCGTGTCAGCTTGTCACCCAAGACGCTGTGCAGCCCCGCAAGCGAAGACGCCTAGTCGGGGAAAGTCGACAGGATCGGTTGCACGGGACTTTTCGATAGAACCGAATTAGCTTCAATAGTCACCACCGTCACGTTCTCCTCCCCGGCACCGTGCATCGATGGCGCGCGAACGGCGATCGAGATCTTGCTCGTTGACCGTTCATTGGCGCGGTTTCTTCAATCGTTGGCACTGGGCAATTACCGCTTACGGCCGACGCGACGACCCCGGTCACTGGATCTTCCGGGCTATTCGTGAGGAATCCTCCTTGAACGCCACGCTGACAGACGCTCGTCTTCGGTGAACAGCACTATTGCCGATTCACCGGCATTTGTCAAGATGATTTTTCCTTCCGTCCACCGCTAAGCTAGAAAAGCTTCCCTGGTAAGAATTTTCTGAAGAATGACTGCTTGTTGGGTGGCTCTGCTGACGACGTACTCCGTACTCTGTAGCCAGCTCCTCGCCAAGACCCAACGAATGCAATTAGCTCAAAGCCAAGGAACCATGGCTGTCCATGATCGACGGTGTGATGTGTCGATGCGAGCTGCCATCTCCACCGAGGCGATAACGATTACTGTCATTCGACGATAACTCTGATCACCTGCCAAAGGCCTGGATCGTGATTCCGAACCAGGAGCCGTCTGCAGCCCGCTATCCGTCCTCGGTACGGACTACAGCTCAATCTAGATTTCCATCCCACGCATGTGTAGCAAGAAGCAACTTTTGCCGGTACTGGTAGCAAGGCGGGTGCTCCGCAGCATCCAGTCTGTCGGTGTTGAAAATCAAGTAATACGGAGGAGTCCTCGGAAGAAGGCTTGACAGGTCATTGCAATAAAAAAGTTACGGATACATTGCTGTGGCAGTTCTCTTGGAGGAACTACCAGTCAGTCAACCTGCGAAGGTGCAAGATGACCAAGTGAGTTTCGCCCCTCCGGTAAGGGAATGCTCTTACGCGTCCGTACAACCTCGAATCCACGGAGTACTGCCGAGCCATTTGATCATTTGATCCTTTTTGCTCGCAAAACAAATCCTATCCACTCATGGGACGTCTTTCACGGCCTTTATCACCTCTGTACCCGCTAAAAGAGCGCAGAAATAGTACGGAGTACGGAGTCCTACTCTGTACCTGGCTGCTGTTGCTGACAGCCTGAGGCTCCCAGCCTCCACGGGTTGACGCCTGACGTCCAAAGCATCCGTTTTCCGCCCGTTGCTAGTGAGCTCAATAGTCACCAGTTTGCCCACCCCAGTACCAAGGTCCAATGCATCAATATGTCCACGTCTTGCCATATCTGTCGATGGCGATTCAAGGTTGCAGCTGCACTGACATCTTCGCGAACGGGTGGGCCTGCTCGATGACCCTCCACAACCAGCCGGACGCCCTTGTTCCGCAAATCCCGTCGAATAATCTATACGAATCATCTCGACTTTCGACTTTCTCGAAGATGATTGGTGCCTTTGGGGATTATCGATTGTCGAATGATTGCTCTCCTACAATTTCTGATATCTACGGAGTACTCGGTACAATGTTATCGATAGAACGAAGTACAACGTGTCATTTCGGTTGCTGTGAAAGGGTGGCAAGAGAATCCCTTGAACAAAGGAAAGGTGGCAACAATTTCAAGCGGCTGGTTCGTCCGCATATGACACAGAAACGGCCAGAGAGCTTTGTCCTTGTTTCCTCCGTCCTATCGGGGCTTTGCCATCAGATTCGACTTTACAGTCTAGGTAGATCTCCGACGGCCCGTCCGGAGATCTCGGTTCCTGAGGATCATATTCTCGGCGCTTTTTCAAGGACGACATAGCTGCAACCTGGTCCAGGCAACGAGTTTCGTGTCATTCGAGTAAAAAATTCCTGAAGTCAGTCATTGCATCTCGAATCTACAGATTGCAGATTTACGGGAGACATACTCCGTAATCCTCCCGTTTACTAAATCCTACTAGGCTCCGTCTGTCGGGGCTTAATTGGCTCAGGACAGGCATTAGGATCGACGTCGAAATTTTTGGTGGTCCAGGCGCCAGGTGGACCCGGCGAAGATCCTACTCAACGTAGATCGTTGCATCTGACCGCTCCTTTTCCCAATAATGCAAGGTGGTCTCAGCCAGCCTGGCCAATGATCACCACTGAACATCGAGAGGCTCTTTGTATATCACCATCTTCCTGAGTGCTCTTGGGATGCGAATCTCTGCGGAGGAAGATGCAACAATCCACGACTCCGTATGCGCCTTTGCGTGTTACCTTTCCGTGACACTGAGGCGAATCATCGTCGACCCACTGATCTCCGCAGGACGAGAGCGTCTTTATCTGCGCAAGATCGATGGTCCGAATGCTGTACGGAGTACTTCGTCTTCTTGGTGAGGCTAGAAGGAATATGCCGAAGTCGGCATAACTGGCGCCGTGACTCGTGACGTTGTGAGAACTTGCATTATTGACCGCTATCCTTGGTCATCGGCGACCAGGTGACAGCTAATGTCCCACTCCAGGATGCTTCTAAACCATCCACCATCTGCTCATGGCTTGTTCCTGTTTGGGGCGGTGGCGGTGGCACTATTGACTCATTCCTCCTTCCGCCCGTCCACTATCACCAACCTTGGAACCGCTTACAGAGTAGCGTTGAAACGATCCGTCGTTTATTCAGCAATGGCCTCATGAGTGGATCAGATTGCTTGTGCTTGCAGCTTTAAAGTGACTATACGGAGTAATCATCACAGACTCACGTTGACAGTGAGAAGAGGCCACGCTAGCTTCTGGGGTTTTGAATCCTTGCTCACAACAGCTATTCCCATTTCACGCGGTCTGCTAACTAGTTTATGATCACTGTTAGGTATCCTACGGTTTCCAGACTGTCATCTACTTTGATTACTGTAATCAGGTGTGCGAATCCATGAGTCTTCTTCGGCAGCCACCGTAACGAAGTCAGCCCGAGTCGGCGTGACATTGTGAACTCGAGCCAAGAGGAGAAATTTTATACAACACTACAACTTAGTACTCTATCCGGTGGAGAAAGCTGTAGCTTTCGATCTCAAAAAGGGCGAGATGGAATAGCAAAGACTGTGGGGGCCGTGCAGCAACACCCGATCTGCTGCTAACAGCTAAAAAGAAAAAAGAGGAGACTTATTCGCAGTAGTCGTCCGATCCATCTCCGCGGCTCGATCCCAGCTCTAGCTCTGAACGGATCTGGGGTTGGTTATCTTTATTTTTCGCCCTTTCCTCGCTTTTGGGGGCGGTGATGATAAGATTAAGCTCACGAAGCTGACAAGACTACGGAGTACCTAAGAAGTTCAACCGCAGCGTCATCTTTTAGGTCGAAGCATATTAATGGTTGAAAATTGGGGCGAATCACGAATTGCGACAACGGAAGAGAGTCATCATTCATCACCCGGCCAATTTTCATCTTGGCAAACTAGAACTATCATTACTCGGAAGGCCATTCTGATCATTGAATCGACTCGCAGCGATTCATATCACAACGCACAGTTAATGTACTTTGTCCTGCACAATACATGAATTTGCAACGGCTGCCAAGAGGAACAATCCTGTTGGTTGAAGGTTTCGTGGGAGTTGGCTAGTTTCTCTCGGGTCCTTGTCCTTGGTAAGCTTGGTGACGGTCCCTGGCGACTATCCCGGCCCATCTGCAGGGAATCAGGGATCCGGATATGCGACCCACCGGCCCTTGAAGCCCAACCCTGCACTCGACGACCTCCGGCTCCTGCCAGAGTGCCACACCTTTGTCCTACGGCCACCATGTATTAATATTGCATTGCCGCTCCAAACCCTACCATCGTGGCGGCTCATCGTCAGCCGCGAAGATCGCATTATTTGACCCGCTGGCGACGCGCTCTTAGGGCGCGGCTATTGTTCTGGCTGTGGTTCGTGCGTCCTAGGCAAACCTGCGTGGAGACGACTTGTCCAGATACACCGAGAATGCCCGCAGCTGCAAATCGACCGCAGAGAGCTATTAGCTGTGGGTTGCCAGCAGGGCCTAATAATTGTGAATCGACCTATCCTGTACAGTGCGCTTAGGACAGCGTCGGTAGGCTCTATTCGGCGTTGAAGAGCATTTGCCTAAGCCTTGAGGTACTACAAGAAAGCAGGAGACAGGTGCACCAAATTCTCCATCAATCGTAACGAAGATCGGAGCTCTGTTATGATCATCCCTCCTAGGCGCGCTCGAGCTTTGAAGAACGGAATTGTGGGGTTAAATACGCCCATGCGCCGAGTCATTGACGGGGCCTTGATTCCTGTGGGCCGGAGCTGACATCAGGCCAGGTCCCTACGGAGCAACTAACGGAGCGATCCAACGGTCAGGATTATTGTCCACCTTAGTCTTCTCGTCTTCCTGGCGCTGTCGCGCTATATTTCCCTCTTTCTCCTGGGTGGTGCCTTCTCCCGGACAGAGTAGGCAGTAGTCACTGGTCAGTGCTCGGAGAACAAGAGAAGGCTCTCCGGATGTCACGCACGTCAAAAGACCAAGATGGAATGTGTCCAGCGGCCGCATCACATACCTGCTTGGGCCTGCCAGGCTGACGATTGGACTAGTTCGGACTATTGGGGCCGGGGCGAACGCAGCGACGTCGATCCATCCGCACAGGCTCGCGGGTCGCCCTGCTGGCTCCGATTGGCGCCGACTCACCATCCTGGGGTCGCCGAAGAGAGAACTCCACTGCGCAGCTCAATGGCAGATGCTGCTCGAAGCTCCAAGCTCAACCCCCCTCCCCTCCACCCTTCCAGGTTATCGATTAACCAACCCTTCTGGGGTTCTCGCTGACAGCGGCACCCATCCCCAATCGTCCAGCTACTGCAAGCCACGGCGCCGGCTGCAGCAGAAGCTCCAAAGGGAAAGACAGAAAGGGGAGACCTTTGCGCCGCCTGGCTGCCATAAGCCCAATAGTTCAGCTCCCATGATCTGCCATGGTCCATCTGGGTACACAGTCTGGAGGACGGGCGACGCCATGGGCCATTCTTTGTGCCCGGTCCACTATACCGAGCCCAGTGGATCTGCCGTCATGGAGATCAGAAGGGCAGCAGTTTATCTAGAAAACTAACCTTTGGCTGCGTCTGCACTGGCCACAATAATGCAACCGCAAGCCTCAAATTCGGGCCCTAAACGGGGTTCGTCCTGAAGCCCGGGAGAGGTACCTAGGCACTGTCATCACCTGCAGGTGGAGGCCGTGACCCAAGACGCCGTACCGTATCGCTCGTCGTTGACCTCCGACGGCACGTCCTTTCAAGCCAGTACAATCCTCTTTTACTTTACATAATTCACGATTCGTCGACATGCCCCCCAACCTGTGGGCATGGCATTATTTGCGACCAACTGATTGCATTGGCCCACATCACATTTGCTTTTTTACCATCCTCTCCATTTGGGAAAATAGCATCTTGGACCTGGCCCCATTCTGCGCCATCTTCAAGATAATTGTTCGACGTGTCATTCATTAAACTTTAGCCTTCCAGGCGCCTCGTCGATCATCGGGGAACGTTAATGCTCAGAAGATCATAAAAAAAGGCCCCGGTTGGTGATGTCTGATGCACGACACCTTCCACCTCCATCTGACTTGCTGCTCCGATTACAAAGTGGATGGTTGCTGCAGCATATCCAGCGGCAGCAACGGCTACGACCCTGCGGTATCCCGGTTGCCGGTTGAGGTCCTGCAGATCCCAAGCTCTTGGTAATTACTGGACTGATACTGACAGCCAAGGTGAACAGGCGAAAAAGAAAAGAAAGGTTATATGCGCTTGCGTTGAAGGAGGGGCCCGTCAACCGATACCGGCTGCAAGATCGAACCTCGAGTTAACCCCGACTCTTAATATAACCGAATCTGAATGTCGAGCTCCCGTTGTTCAGACATGCTGCCCAATTATCCAGTTGTCTAAACAGCATAGCAGTGCTATGCCATCCGCATCGAGACTCTTTGAGCCAGGAGAGAGCCTTCATCAGAATATTGGATCTTCCCAATGCAATCTCTACTTCTCCCCGCTCCCTGGTTGTCCAATACGCATTTCAGGCAGCCTAGATTCGACCTCGACCCTGGGCGGGTTTCCATCCATCTGCGGCCGTCCACCGCCGGCCTCAAGTCCGGCCTTCGGACTTCTCAACCTTCTTTCCTTATGTCTGGTCCCCTTCCTACAGACAACCCGACTGAAAGTGCGCGAAACATCCAGCAGCAAGCCTCTCGGGGTTCGGAGGTAACGACTACGAATGAAGCCGTTGGTCCAATCGTCTCTCCGACAGCTCCCGTTTCGAGATCACCGGGAGCACAACACGTGAGGACGACGCAAACACAGAGTGTTTTTCCTCGAGACGTGGTACATGGGCATCAAGCCCCGGCTCAGCCCTCCAGTTTGGCCGGTGGAACTCCGGCCGCCTCGACGGAAACAACACACCTTCAGTCGGCGGCCCCAAGCACGACGGCGAGAACGCTTCCACCGCGATCAACGAGACGCGCCAAGGCGCATGTCGCTTCTGCGTGTGTGAACTGTAAGCGGAAACACCTGGGCTGTGATTCATCGAGACCCTGCCGAAGATGTGTGCTGGCAGGTAAAACTGTAAGTCTTAGAACTTCTTGCTGATTCTCGATGTGAAAATCATATATATTAATGTTCTTTCGAGGCAACCTGCGTGGACGTCACACATAAAAAGCGAGGCCGGCCGCCTCTAAAGGCGGAAGAAGCTCCGTTAAGACCGTACACAGCAGTTGAAAGCTCAGCCGCATCAAGAGAGTCGTTACAGACAACTCCATCCAGCCGGCCCCATGGTCACTCGCGAACGTCTTCTCGTGAAATTCGACCGATTACAGACCTTCAGTTCCCGCGAGCTGGAGAGTATGGAGCGGGAACTGCGAGCGTTGGGATGGATCCGGTGGTGGCTCATGCCCGGAGATGGACTACATATCCTTCTCCCCAAATGTCCGGGCCGTCGTCGATCATGATACCAGGAGCTCGTGGTCAAAGACCGTTCTCCTCACCCGTGTCTTTGCCTTCATCGGCAGGAACAAATCCGCCAACTCCGTTTATAACGTCTCCTGGATCTGCAATTTCCCCGCCCGCTGGTGTTTCCGAGTTTCGGCCCATTCTGTCATATAGTGATCGTCCGCACGTGGTCACTCCACCGACGATTTCTCCGCAGCAGTACCAGCAGCCATTTCCCCTGGCGCTGACACCCCTTATGGAAAGTCCTCAAACTCCAACTCGACCAGCAGAGAGAACAGCGACTTCGAGAGAATCGCACGATCCGTATCCCGAGCCCGGTCTTCGATTGCCGCCGATCCTACCTTCTACGAGATCATTTGGACAGAGCCCGCCGACCCATCGGAGGAGTGGCTCCTATCCTTACCCAACAACGTTTACGGGCGAAAGGACGCAGGCTCAAGAGCCTCAATCGCAACCTCGTCTTCTAGAGTCTCCGCGTTCCTTGTTGGAGCCATTGACTAGCCAGCCTGAATTGCGATCTCCTTTCCCCTCTGCCTCCCGGCCCACGAGCCTGGTCATTGAACATGATCGACCAGTCTCCCAAGCACAGGAGAGCCCGGAGCAGAGTGCAGCGAGACCAGAGCGCCGCAGGAGAGACGAGGGTGACGAGGGTGAGGATAGTCGGCAACCGACCAAGCGGCGACGCATGGCGTTGGACGACATAGTGAACGACTGATATGAATGCTGGATAAAATGCGTTTATTGATATACTCGGTCTGAAGGAGGCCGGAATTCCTCCTGGATATAATATCTAGGCTCCATATCTTGGGCCACGATAATAAATAATACAACCCGGTACAGCCTTCGACGTTATTACGCACAAAACGAGGGCTGTATCTTGTCCTGGACTCGCTTGTCGTTGGCTTTCGCAAACTTTTCGGACAAATCCCTCAGGGATTGCTACTCGATTTGCATCCTTGATTGGGATTACTACAACCATGCTGGATGGATTAACTCGATACTCCGCCTTTTTCTTTTCTTTTCTTTTCTTTTCATCTCTTTTTTCTTTCATTTATCCCACCCCCCTTTTTTGTCCCCTTTCCCCATTTTGATATCGCGGTCATGATGTACATTCTCCTTTTGTACTGGACATCATCTATCCACCCTATTTTTCAAGTGCTTCTTTCTTAGACATATATTCATTGTCGTGACAGGCTTACTTTCTTTCGATTGCATGGACTTTGGGAGGAGATTTTTTTTTTCTTGCTTGATGGAATGATGGAATGATGAGATTAGATGAATGGTGTGTGCGCGCAATTGATTGACTGACTGACTGGCATTCAACGTGCGTTGGTTTGGTGATTCCCTTCTTGTTTCTGTTCGACGGCAAGAAATATTCGGAGTCCCATACTTTCTTGATCTTGTTTGTTCATTATTTGTTTTCGGTGATATTTTTCCCCCTTTTTATTTCGTGTCCAAGTATGTTCACTGTGCTGGCTGTGCTGTACATTATTACACTTATTATATATTATTCAAAAGTGGTGATAACTTTTGATATTTCTTTGTCTGCTTGCGTTAGCTGCTTGTATGTGCTTTTTGCCGTGCGTGGTTATATATATATATATGCAATTTTTGATTTGCTTTTTACCCCCGTCTGACTAGATGATAGACTTCTCATTCTTCCTCTCCCTCCACGTTTGAGCGATATTCGCCTTTGAACGTTGGTTTACAGGTCTCTTGTATCTACTTATTTTTTGAAAGATTTGTATTCCTATCAGTGATGACATACGTCCAAATTTAGGGTAATATTGGCGAGGGAGATGCTGCTGGTCCGTCTCTACATGTGACGTGGTTGACAGACGACTATATTGTCGTGTTTTATACGATTTTTCTGTCAGCGCTGCCACAAGATATATCTCCTTCACGGGTCGTCCACGATCGAGACGGTTCATCGGGTAGATGGCTGCTTGCCTCTTCGCGATGCTCAAACGAGTTCAAACGAGCAGACAGGAAACAGCCGGAACAGATTGGTTTCAGCAGGCGCTGCACAGATGATGGCCAGTTGGGACTTCACGACACTCCGGATCGCCCATCGGAACCGAGTATGTAATGTTTTCAAGTAATGGCTGTCAACGACGCAAGACTGGTGATGTCAGCTGATGACGGATACTGCTCCCAGTCAAGGGATTTCTACGAAAGGATGTCTGAAGGATTCGTACCATTGTCAGGAGGTCTAGGGGCGACTTAGAGCAACAATAGACCAGACCAATGCGGTAAACAGGACATAACACTACTTTCTTGAACGAGGTGAGCTGCAACTTGCTAAATGGACTGACCATCAAGTCTGTAACAGTTCACAAAGTTCAGCGTCCCTGCGACAATATAGGACATGTTGCGATTACCACGGACACAGAATCGGCGTGCCGTAGTTGATTGAATTCGTGGTCATTGCCAGGATATACAGAGTGGACAAAGAAGACTCCACTGAGTATGGCGGACCTCCAGACTGACGCACATAATCGTACGAACTCCGAGGTAACTTCTGTCCAGGCTTGACCTGGTCTGGTCTGGTCTGAATCTGGTACGATTGAAAGTTGAAGCAAGTATATGAATGAAGAATGGGTATACTACACTAACACGTATGCAGTCCTCTGAACCCTTCCTTCTCTTCGAACAGGTTCCCCTGTCTGTATTAAACAAATACATGCCATGACTGGTATTTGTATAAAGGGTATAGTATGGGTATTATATAACTCTCAAGTCATGTTAGAAAAACAACCACGTCCCAAGAGCACCCACTCTCTCCTTCCACCCTTGCCCCCTGGCGAACGGACTACGACGGGCAATCTCCAGCGCCTCAGCGCGTTCCTCAGCGCTGAATCCGCCATCGAACCGGTCCGAAACGAGATCCATCTCGTCGAGACGCACAAAGCGCGTGCGCTTGACGAGCTTCCACGCCAGGAACATGACCAGCATGACGGGCAGCTCGATGTAGTAGCTGACAAAGTCGACGGCCTGGAAGCTGGGGCTGAAGGATGACCAGCCCTGCACGAGGACCAGGACGATGTTCAGGACCACGGCCGCGATGGGTCCGTAGGGGTATGTCCAGTTCTTGAACGGGAGGAGGTGCTCGAGGCCTTGCCGTCGCACGGCAGCCCGGAAGCGCAGGGATGCGAATCCGATGGCGATCCAGGAGAGTTGGTTCGAGACGCCGACGATGCTGTATCAATCAGGTAAGTATCTTAAAGAGAAAAATTCCTGATCGAGCAGGACTTACTTCTGCAACCAGGTCCACAGCTGCCCGGCGCCGATGTAGCTGGCTCCAAAACACAAGCCGCTGATGGTTGAGGTCGCTAGGACGGCGACCCAGGGGACTTGGAATCGATTGAGAGTGCCAAAGAAGGCAGATGCATGTCCGTCCACGGCCAGAGCGTACAGCAGCCTCGATCCCGCGAAGAGGGCGTGGTTGCTCGCGGAGATGACGCTTGTCATGACGACCGCGTTGATGAAACTGCCCGCCACAGCGCTGCCGGCCTCCTGGAAGACGATCGTGAAGGGGCTGGTGCGGCTATCCTTGCTGGCGAGACCGGGATAGGTATAGGGCACGTTCAGACCGATGATGAGGATCGATAGGATATAAAACATCAAAATCCGCCAGAAGACATTCCGCACCACGCGGGGGAGATTCTTGGACGGATTCTTGGTCTCTCCGGCGGTCACGGCAATGGACTCGGTACCTCCACTGCAAATAACGTCAGAGATCTTCATTATCACAAGTTTGGACTGATGGAACGTACTATGCGAAAGAAGCGGTAACAAAGACGGACGCAAATCCACCGATGCCACCAACGAATGGAGCATCGCCAATGTACCAGTACTTGGCGCCGAGATACTGATGGCTTATGTTGCCACCGCAGTTGACGGCTATGCCGAGAATAATGAATATCTAGTCAAGTCAGTGTCAATTGGCCAGCCGCACCTTGCATCAGGTAGGACTCACCACTATAGTGACGACTTTCAAGAAACTGAGCCAGTACTCCATCTAAACGTGGTCAGCACCCAGCAGGAAATATCAAAAGCAGCAAGCAAATGTGCCTACCTCGCCGTAGGCTCTGACGGAAACAAGGTTCAATGCAATCACGAAAAACAGGAAAATGAGACTGATGGCCCAGCCGGGGAAGTTGTCTGTCCAGTACTGCAGAAGCAGCTGAAGGGCAATCAGATCGGAGGCTGTAGAAACAGCGTCGTTGAACCAGTAATTCCAGGTCAAAGCGAAGCCAAACGCGTCATCGACAAAGCGACTAGATGCGTCGATTAGCAGTGCTGACTGATACTTCCAGTTGAAGCTACTCACCCAGCAAAGGTACAAAACGACCCGGCCACAGGGATAAACGCCGCCATCTCGCCGAGGGAGAGCATGGTGACGAAGACAATGGCGCCAACAATGGCGTAAGAGATGAGCATCGAAGCCGGCCCTCCGGTGGCCAGCGACTTGCCCGTGCCGAGGAATAGGCCTGTGCCAATGGTGCCTCCGATGGCGATCATCTGGACCTGACGAGCGGACAGTCTGCGGGCCAGCTTGTCCGCGACCACGACGCGGGGGCTTCCATCGTCGTCGACAATGGCGGGGGCATAAGCCTGCTTCTTTTCTTCTGCTGGATGCTTTTCAACGTCGTCTGCCATGATGTGTTGCTCGTTCGGCAGTTTCCAGTGGATGAGAATTCAATTCAGAAGAAATCCTTTATGCGATCCAGTCTTTCCTATCCTTAGTCACGAACAACAGACTACATCCATCCACGAATACAATCTAGTAGATCAAAGTCTGCAGAGGAAGGATCCTGGAAAGCTGATAGAAGCTGCAGAAATGCTGAACAAATCGATCTCGATCTCGATCTCTCCACGTCTACCCAATCTGCAAGCGTAGAAGAGATGTTATCGCAGCTCTGAGTTCCTTGGAATCCAAACAATTGCGTATTGTCGTAATAGACCTGACCTGCATGCAGCTGCAGCACGAGGACCGTGGATAAGCGCTTGATCGCGGGATCCCCACAGCAGACAGGTAGGCAGGCAGAAATAATCAATTAGATATTAGATCAAGAAACTCTGGAACAGTGTTGCAGATCAGAAATAAAGGGAAAAAAAAATCAAGAAGAAACAAAGCAAGGGAGGAAGAAAAAAAAGATCAATCCTGTCATACCATCACTATTATATTATATTATTTATTACTCCTAACTAACTATACATGACAAGCTGTCACTTTACTAAGTACCTGAAGTTAAAAGAAAAAAAAAGTTTCTCGAAGCCATAGAAAATCTCTCATCTGTCAGGACTCAGACAGAGCTTCACAAGTCTGACCTTGGATGTAACTTAAAACATTTCAAGTTGAAACATGATTAGTCCGTCTAGACGATGAGGCTAGCTTAGCAGCGATTGCGTGCTTGGCTTGGCGTGTTAACTTTTTAACCTTTTTTTCCAGCTTGGTCATACGGAGTAAAAGAAAAAAAAGAAAATTGTTATTAGTTAAATCTTGTTATGTATTTATTTATTAGGTAAGAACATTTTATTTTATTTTAAATAGGAATAGGAATGGGAATGGGAAAGAGAAAGAGAAAGGGGTTTTTTTATTCTTTTTCTTGCTCCGCAAAACTTCCATTACTTACTCCGTACTCCGTGCTGTCTGTCCTTCCGGATTGGGTTTACCGTATACGTCACGTTCTGGGGCCAAGAAAGCCCCCATACGGAATATACCATATATGATATGGGGGTCAAGAAGGTCTTTGCAAAAAATCGAGAGCTCTTCCAGACAGACTTTCTACTGTAATATTATAGTATTGATTTTTTTTTATATTGATAATGGCGATCCATTCATTCCTTCTTTCTGTCATTGATCATCGACTGACGAAGTTCCTACAATTAATTTGTATTGACATTGATGAACGACATTTTATTTTGTCACAATCTTAGGTGCTCTAGTACGAGTAAGACGGAGATCTCCGAGACGTTAGACGTTGCCAAGACGGGTATTATTTAGACCAAATCTCTCTCTCTCCAGGAATGGCAATAATAATAAATCCAGCAGAAATACATCCAGGTGCTGGGCGGTATGACAGCTGTCATTCTGGGCTCTGTTTCTTTCTCTTTTTTTTGCCCTGAGAGGAGGAGTCTAGGACCCAGTATTATAATATAATAGTGAAGGAGGTAGACCGTAGAGGTCTTTCTTAATCTAGTACTAGTAGTAGTTACATGCATGTAGAAACTGCTCATGGCAAAAGGTTCGACCTGTCTCGATCGTAAACTTACCAGGAGGACAAGCACGCTGCTTGCATAGAGGATCTCGATCTTTCTCGACACGGTGATGGCTCTTCCACTATCGGCCTGGCCGTCCTTCACCCGGCTGATTCAGCCCCAAGAACCAACAACCAACAACACCGCTGCTGTTTAAACAGCTGTGTTAGCTGTGTTCCTTTTCTGAAAGAGCTTGAGAGGAAGCACCAATTCCTGCGAACCAATGTCTTGCTGCCGGCTTGACTTCGGTTCCAATCAACCTGATCCTATATATACTGTGCAGTACATCGACGGATCGACCTCCAATGAAACATGCCTGCCTTTGGCAAGCTGAGCGCCGAGCTGATCGAACTGATCGCCCGTCTGCTGGAGCCAGCTGATCTCTTCTCCTTCCGCCTTGTCTGTCGAGCCTTCTACGACACCACCTTCCCCTACTTCAGCCGCACGTGTCTGGCCACCGTCCGGACAGACCTGTCCCGCGAGAGTCTGCGAGAGCTCGAAGCCCTCGCCGCAAATGAGCGTCTCCGCACGCAGGTCCGAACGCTGCTCTTCCACGGAAGGACGGATATCGGGCGCGGATTCGTCTGGCATCGACATCCCTCCTCCGGCCATCTATTATTATCAGCCCTGCTGCAAGTCCCTGCCGTCCAGACGCTGCGAGATCTCCTGCTGCACAAGCTGGTGAACTGCCGCTCCTTTCATGTGTACAGCCACTATTGGGAACACATGCTGGACTTCGAGACCCTCTGGCCGACGGACGTGGTTACCGTTCTCTTTGCCATCGTCAGCGACACAGGCTTGCCCATCCAGTCGTTCCATCTCGAGTATCTCCGCCGAGGAACCGGGCCTGGCAATCGTCGAGTGACGACGGATCGGCTGTGCTTTGAGCAGAGTCGCACGCCCGAGTTCCGGGCAGCATGGGCCCATCTGCAAGCCCTCACGCTGGAGCAGTCAGTCTCGTTGGACATCTTCGACTGGCTGATGGAGCTGATCCTGCATGCTCCGCGGCTGCAGAAGCTGGGCCTGAATCTAGACTACGTGGATCTGTCGACGGACTTCATCGACCGTCTGTCGTCCGCCGAGGCACTGCCTCGATTGCAAGAGCTCCGACTGTATGGGTTCCGCTTTACAGAGGCCACGATCCTGCGCTTGATCCTCCGACTCGGCGAGAGCCTCCGCAGTGTGTTGTTCCGGTTCGCCACCATCTACTCAGGCGGAACCTGGGTTGCAGTCCTTCGCGCCTTGCGGTGCAACTGTCCCTTACTAGACAGCATCTGGCTGTACAACCACGCCGAATGGCCGCAGGAAGACCGACAGGTATGTGATATTTCCGGCCCTGGGCTTCTGCCAGGGCCGATCGTTCACTTTGATGCACCGGAAATGGGCGACGCAGTCCCGAGTATGGGGAGTCAGCTATTCGGGGGAACGGATGGATGCGGCGTTGGATTTGCTGGAGAGATCGGCGGCATATATATGATATAACAGTCTGCAAAGTTGACCCCCTCCCTCCCCTTAACTACCCCTACATTTTATTATCTGGGCTTATATATAGTATCTATATGCTTACCCCTGCTTAGTGAATACCCCTGCATAGTGAATAGCTCACTCTACTCTCTTCTTAGGTCTTCTGCAAGTGGGTACCTAAAATGGAAAAAGAAAGGGAGGAAAGACTCAAAATGCTTCGCAGAGAGCTGAAAGAAGTTGTTAATATAATATATGCATGCATATACTATACGTACGTACATACAGGACATACAGCATGATGATCACAACACAACCTTACAGGATTTCCCCAAAGTAATATCATATCAACTTTTTTTAACCGGCCCGGGACTCCAAGAAATGCAGTGTATGTAGGGAATAACCGCGCAGCATGGTATGAACAACGTATGTAATAAGTAAAAATATAAGGAAAAGAAGGAAAAGAAATAAGATCACTCCAGCAACCCAGTCGCCAGCGCCTCCAGATCCTCCAGCGTATTGACTTCCACCGGTTCTCCGGGAGCCGGGCCTTCCTTGTGAGTGCGTTTGGAACGCTTCGCGGGGCGTTTCTTGCTCTCTTTTTCTTTTTCTTTTTCTTCTTCCTCTTCTTCTTCTGAAGAAGCGTCGTCCTCGGACGACATTCTCTGTCTCTTCGCTGGACGGGTCTCTTCTTCTTCATTCTCTTCATATTCTTCGTCATGCTCCGAGACACTCGCCATGTCGACATCGCCTTCGACATCGCCTTCGTCTTCCTCCTCGTAGGGAGCCAGGACAGCAGTCGGGCCAGCTTGCTGCTCCCGCAGCGCCCTCTCGCGGGCCTTCCGCTTCTCCTTCTTCTCTCTCCGCTTCTGTCTCGCGATCTCCTTATCCGTGATATCGGCCAGTCTCGTCTTCTCGGCCTCGGCCTCCAAGAACTTGGCCCTCTGTTCCTTGGCGTCACCCTGCGCCTTGAATTTCTCTTCGTCTTCCAACTCGTAGACCTGGTGGGGATTGCCCTCTTCGTCGTAGATCAGCTTGGTCCCCTTGCTCTTGTATTTGAGCAACTTCTTCTTCGACTTGAGTAGCTTCTCGCGGCGCTTCGAGTCGATGACCAGCGGCTCCTTGCCGTCGATGTGGACCACCTTAACATCCTTCCTCACACTTGAAGCTTCCGAGAGGCCGTCATCGAGACCTTCGTCGCCGGCTTCGTACCGACGCTTCACCGAGAGGAACTCGTCGTCTGCGTCTGCGTCCTGGGTGTCGCCATTGGCTTGGCCAGTTGCTATCGCCGTTCCATCGTCGTTGATAAGCTTCGAGTAATGATCCGCCAACACGTCCTGGTTGCGTCTCTCGAACATGCGGTCATACTTCGTTCTGACCTCTCCGTTCTTCTTGGCCTTCTTCTCGCCGTTCTCCTCACCAGACTCCTCTTCGTTCAATAGCTTTTGCAGAGCCCGGGGCTGGTTCTTTTGGGCTTTGCTGTCCTCTCCCTTGATGAATTTGATACGAGGCGCTCCTGGAAGTCCCAGGCTGGCTGCAAACTCCTCCAACGGCAGCTCTTTGAGTTTGAAGACTTCTTTGTCCTTCTGAAGATAGATCGATTTGACGTAGGAGATGAACGCCTTCTGGCCCAGATATTTCAGTTCCGGGTCCTTGAAGCACATATTCTGCAATTGATCCTTGATGCTCTGCTTTTTCTTGGCTTTCACATTGATCCGTTCGATCGGAACCTTCTTCTGTGCAAGCCGTTTCAGCATCGCCTCCTCCTCAGTCGGGTCCAGGAAGAGGACAGCCCGTCCATTCCGCTCATATCGAGCCGTCCTTCCCACTCGATGAATGTAGGTATCAGCGTCTTCAGGGCAGTCCAGCTGGATGACCCAGTCCACAGCGGGAAAGTCCAAGCCGCGTGCCGCAACGTCTGTCGCAAACAGGACTGCGTACTTCGCTCGGGAGAATCGGGTGGTGATGTCCAGCCGTCCACCCTGCTTCTGCCGGCCATGTAGATGGAGCAATGGAACACCGGGTTGCAGGTGCCGGAACGACTCGTATACGTACCGAACCTGTTTCCCGGAAGACAAGAACACCAGCGTCTTGGCCTTCAGGTTGCTCCGGATAAAACTCCACAAAGTATTGAGTTTCTCAGGGAGCGGGGTCACCACGTAGTGCTGCTGAAGCGTCGTGGGCGTCGAAGTTTCGGCGGATTCGTGAACGGCAACGTATTCCGGATCCTGGAGACTCAACCGCGCCAGATCGGAAACTCTCTTGGTTTGAGTTGCGCTAAAAAGCAGCGTCTGGCGTTCTTTCGGTAGGTGCTCAATGATCGCATCCACCGTCTGTTGGAAACCCATGTCCATGATGCGATCTGCCTCGTCCAGCACCAACATCTGTAGATTGTACACGTCGAGCTCGGCGGTCTGATCCAGATGCTGCAGCATCCGTCCCGGGGTACAGACGAGAATGTTCATCCTCGCGAGGCGTTCCTGCTCTTCCTTCAGACTCTTACCGCCGATGACCAAACCGGCGGAAAACGTGTGGTATCGGCCAATCTTCCGCAGGACCTCGAAGATCTGGATGGCCAATTCGCGCGTCGGAGAGATAATCAGTGCCCCCAAGCCGTCGTATTCAGTCCATTGCTTGCGGTACAAGTTTTCGAGAACCGGGATCAGGAACGCCAACGTCTTTCCGCTGCCCGTCTTCGCAGCTCCCAGAATGTCGGCTCCTTTGAGAGCAAAGGGAATGGCACGAGCTTGGATATCAGTCATCGTCTTATAATGAGAAGCCGCCAGGCCGTTGGCAGTGGGTTCAGAAAGAGGGAGTTCGGAGAACGATTCGAGTTGAGCCTTGGGATCGAGCTCCTCCACACGCTGACCGAGCGAGGCCAGCTGTTCTTCGTTCCTTTTTCGTTTGAGCTTCCGGGCGTTGAGGACAGGCTTCCGAGCCTGCCGGCCCTGGCGAGCACTCTGTGCAGGAGCCATGGGCGAGAAAGCGATAGGGAATTCACATGCGATGCCTCCAGACAGTTGGAGATAGATTTACTGTGTTGACTTTTTTTTTCTGCCGATTGCTTAGTCAGCGTTGCGATAAGAAACTCGCGGCGGAACTGATTTGGGTTATCGCGACAATCAGAGCGACCGACACGAGACGAATCCCCACTCCTCAGTCTGCCTTGGACACCTAGGGATTTGCGTCTTCTCCACGACCAGCAGCGTCTGTGAAGATGGCCGACGACGAGAAGGATGCCCTCGACGCACTTGAGAAGGAAGCGTCGGAGTTCGCCAAGGTAGGTAGACTACTGTAACTGTCGTCGCCACTCATTCCGTTACGGCCTGCTGACACGCGACCACTGCAGGATGCTGAGATAGACCGAATCCGAAAGGCATTCCCGCTGGATGCGTAAGTTTGTTGTCTATCTACTTTTCTACATCTTGCTAACAAGATAAAAAAAACAAGCTACGCCGTTCTCGACCTCCAGCCGGGTGTGCCTGAATCGGACATCAAGCTTCAGTACCGCAAGAAATCGCTCCTGATCCACCCGGACAAGACCCGAAATCCCCTGGCGCCGGATGCCTTTGACCGGCTCCGAAAGGCACACGATACCTTGATGGATGAGAAGGCCCGCACGCACCTGGACGAATGCATCGCGGACGCCCGACGGCTTCTGATCCGGGAGCACAAGTACACGCTCGACTCGCCGGAGCTCAAGACGGAGGAGTTCAAGGCGGAATGGCGGCAGAAGACGGTCGAGGTGCTGCTCCAAGAGGAGGCGCGTCGACGGCGCCAGATGAGGGCGAAGATGCAGGAGGAAGGCCGCGAGAAGCGGAAGGAGGAAGAGGAGATGGAAGCGCGCAAGCGCAAGCGCGAGGCGGAGAAAGCGTGGGAAGAGACGCGAGAGGAGCGAATCGAAAGCTGGCGGGCATGGCAGAAGGGAATCAAGAAGGATAAAGGCGAAGGGGAGAAGAAGAAGAAAAAGATGAAGGTCCTCGGTTGACGATACCCATTTTCTTTCTTACCTTACGAGTCACTTCAGGCGACGGGTTTGTTCTTTCACTTTTCTATAATAATCTATCTCATCAACCAAGGCGTCCTGGGAAGGGAAAGGATAATCACGGGCTGTATAATATATTGCAATAGCTTAATTAGAGAGCATTTCTAAATGAACAACAATCAGCTAGACGTAGCAGGCAGAATATCTCAAAGAAACACAAGCTGTGTATAGCTTACATTCTAGCTATATAGCTCTCCTCCAGACCTCTCCCATTCAATTATCATCAATTGTATAGACCAGATTCAAAAGAACAAGCAGGGACAGTTCTCGGTCTCGATCTCGATCGCGTCGGCCTTCACGTGTCAGGCGGGGCTCACTGCTTGTCCGGAAGGTTCAATCACCTGCATTGATTGATGTCATTCACGTCAATAAGCTAGCTGAATGCATGTACAGATAGACAATAATAGCATATCATCAATAATAGCAAATGAATGGTTCGCACTTAGCTGCTTAATTGAGGACTAGTTAACTCCACTGGGACTTTTTTCTTTTCCCCGCTGCGGCTGCTGGTTGCGGTGGGTTGGAACTTGGGCGCATTCCGGCCTCCGGACTTCCAACAGCGGGGAAAGGCGTGCTCCGTACTGTTAACAGTTTGTTAAAGTGGGTAATAGCTGGGATAGCTGTTCGACATTCGAATACTTCATGATCAGTCCTCGTCACGGGAGCATGGGACGACACGGACCTGATTGATTCATTTCACGCCTAATTGATTAATTAATTAATATTACTGCTATTACATACCTAGCACCTTGTCAGGAATCAATCCTAGGTATTATCTTGACACTCTCTCCGTCCTCGGGAATCATCAGGTTCCCCCTCATTGCCATTCCTCCTCCCTTCTCCTTCTCCTCATTCTCCTCACTCCTCGCTCCTCTTTTCTCCTCTCTCTCTCTCTCCAGATTCCGCTCCTATGGATGACTTCGACTGTCGTCTTCCGTCATGACTGACTCTCCTTCTTTGGCGGCGCATCCCGTCGCTGCGGGGCCTGCCAACGGCATCACACCCTCGTCTACAACGACGACGACGACGACGACGACAACAACGACAACGACAACAAAAACAGAGCAGCTGAACGAGCAAAGCGCCAGGATCGGAGAAGAGCAACAACCAGATCAACTCCCGCCCGTATCGTCCGGCGACAGCGACCCCTCCGTCCCTCCCCTGCGTGTCGTCGTGGCCGACCTCCACCGTCGCGTGCACACCTTCCTGTCCGAATCCTTCCCCCCAGACTCCCTCCTCGCCCGCGTGCAGAACCAGACCCGAATCTCGCTCTCGGTGATCCAGACGGCGCTGTCACGATACTCGCTGCGCGAACTGTCCCTGTCGTACAATGGCGGCAAGGATTGCCTGGTGCTGTTGATCCTGTTCCTGGCCAGTCTGCATCCTTTACCTGCTGCTGACAAGGAGGCCATCTCCACGATCCCCGCCATCTATGCCCTGCCGCCGCATCCCTTCCCCTCCGTCGAGGACTTTGTCCGCTCCTCCTCCCGCCAATACCGCCTTTCGTTGACGAGGTACACAACCGACCCTCCCCGGACGACCCTGCGGTCCGCGTTCGAGTCCTATCTCGCTCTCAACCCGACCATCAAGGCCATCTTCGTGGGAACGCGCCGGACGGACCCGCACGGCGCCAAGCTGACGCATTTCGACCCGACCGACCACGGCTGGCCCGATTTTGTCCGCATCCACCCGGTCATCGACTGGCACTACGCCGAGATCTGGGCTTTCATCCGCCACCTGGGCATTCCATACTGCTCGCTCTACGATCAAGGCTATACCAGCCTAGGAGGCACCAATGATACCCATCCGAATCCCAAACTCCGAGTGGATAACGGGGGCAGTTCAACAGGCGGCCAGGAGACCTATCGACCCGCCTATGAATTGACCGAGGATGACGAGGAGAGGTTAGGGAGACATTGAGGATTACACCTGGATACTTTCTGAGGGAATACCCACTTGGACGTGCTTTGTATTACACTTATATATATCCCGCGTTATATATATTGTCTCGGAATGCGTTTGTCGAGGCCATTGCAATAGACCTGTTGTCGTGATCATGATACGTGCTGGTTGTTTTGTCTACGCTCCATGGCTAGCTGACTTGGAAGGCAGTTGGCAGCTTGGATGTTTTCTCATATTAGACCTAGCTGAACCGTTGTTAATCTAAATATACTGCATTGTGGTGTTAAAAAAGCCATGTTTTCCTCATTTGTCCCTTTTCTGCCTTCTCCTTCTCCATCTGTAACCTCGATCAAAACATTATGAATCCTCTCACTTAAAACAAATCATCCGAACGCTGCATGGCGTTGATGACACTCGACCATGTAGACATTGAAAACTAACAACACAAACCACTGTCAATCTGATCAAACTCCCGTGATAGATGCAAGCCGGATCAACGGGTGGACTCCCATAATTATATAACTGACAACACGAACAAAGGCTGAATCTCATAAAAGCTCCCGTGTGATAGATGCAATTTGGATCAACGGGTAGACTTCACTCTCACAATCTGGAAGAACATACTCACCATATCACAATACTAACCTGCAACCGATATTCCGATCTGAATTCATTCTCATGAACGTGTTAACCATGTAGGAAAGACACATCTAAGTCTGCGATGAAGTGGGAAAAGAATTCTGGTCTTCGCATCCCGTTCCAGATGTCCACAGCACAAGAGGCAGTGGTCCTCCATTTAGACGGAAGATTTCGGGGAAGACTCTTGGACCTCCTTGCGGGACGCCACGGGCGAAACAGAACTCGCCTTGATGCTCTCCTTTTTCGGACTTGGAGTGCGAGCTTGGCTCATTGACATAGGCGGAACGGCCTTCGGAGACGCCGCAGGTTGGTTGTTTTCAGCCAAGGTGCTGGGAGTCATGGACGCAAGCCGTCCCCGAAAGGCAGGCGTGTTTTCGATGTTGGCTAGCGGTGTACGAGAGGACCACGAGTTCAAACCACGCTTGTTGCCGGAACTTTTCAGGACCGGTCCACTGGAAGACATGTCAGCAACACTGAAATGGCAAAAACCTCGAAGGGCCGTCGTACGATGGTGAGATAGTCGTGGCGGGAGTCCACACGGGTCCAGCACCCACTGGAGACTGATAACTCATCGGCGAGCTTGGGCTGGCCTGAGAAATGCCTTGTGCAAGACGGGACGCTGAGGGAGACGGGGTGGAACCTTGGACCACCTCGACCGAATAATTGTACTCGCCAGCTCGGTAAGCACGGCGTTCGTTGCTCTGCTGTTTGAGCAGCTTTTGGGCTTTGGTATCCGCAAAGCGAAGAAGCAGCTTGACTCCATCTTTGCCGGGAATGTTGTGGAATTGAGCCAAAACATTCTCAGCGATCTCGCGAGTTTCGAAACTGCGGAACACAGTCAGCCTCTAAACAAGTGACAGGTATATCCAGAAACGAAATTACCGAGCAAAACCGACTTCCTTGCTCACGCCAGTCTTCTCGTCCCGGCTGATCTTCTCGGAAACGACGCGATATGGTTCGAAATGGCGACGAAGATCCTTTGAAGTTGGTGTTAGAATCAAGGGAAATGACAAAAAAAAAGGGAAAGATCTTTTCTCACCGCTTCGGACCAGGTAATTGGCACATTAGTGCAGTAGATATTGGTTGAATTCTTGTCTTCGAGATCCTTCAGACGAGAATTGCGAGATTTCTGGCTTAACGTTAATAGTCGTGGAGAAATTGCAAGATGCAAGCAACATACCTGTGCAAAACTCGCCTGGTATCCGAGGTAGAAGAAGCCGCGGATGCAATTCTCGCAGGCGTCGAAGTTGAAGAACTGAACGAAAGCAAAACTATACCACGGAATCAGTATGCACAAGGCTAAACGGGGCCATTCAGCGAGACCAACCCTTTGCACAGCCCGGTCTCAAGATCCACGATGGCTTTGCAACGTTCGATCTGACCGAAACGCGAAGCATACCCATGCAACATTTCATCAGTGGTTTCAGGGAGGAAACCACGAATGTAGACATTGGTAATGCCCTCACGATTTTCAAGACACTTGGCGAGAGTCAGATCTGAGGAATTGGTCCACATTGCCGGCACGGCACGTGGAATCGCAGGGTCCTGCTGAGTCAGGGCTTCAAGGTCTTGAATAACATAACCGGTAGAAGTTTTCATCATCTGATACTGTGGGCAAGGCTGCGAAATGTGAAGAGGCATGTTCACTGAGAACCCTGTCAAGGGGGTACGGTCCACGGAACCTGCAGAAGAATGAAAGTTGCTTTGAGTCCCGGTATCGCCCAGATGGTTTACGGAAGCCTTGGACTCCTCGACGGATGACCACGAGCCCTGACGTGGTCCATTCAGGGCGGGCACGTCTCCATTATTCAAGGGGAAGGGCCAGGAATATCCCGGGAAGGCACCGGGGGTAATAGGCGTACCGGCCACAAAACCCGGGTAGTAGATACTAGGCGGCACCGGTGGGACAAATGGGTTAATCTGCTCATGACCAGGTAGTTGAGGCTGGCCGAAATGATTAGCATGCGGGATGCCACCAATCAGGCCTCCGTTTGGAAGCATCACGGATTGTCCGTTGCAGGAAGGACGCTGAAATCCAGGGAGCTCAACATTTGGAGTTACAGGGGAGCTGACATTCGCCCTGAGATTACCGTACTTGGGACCGAGACGTGCCATCGGCAGGTTCAGTCCGCTGGGAATATGAGTGCTGACAGCGTTGTTCGCCGAACGAGTGCCAGCGGATGGGTCATGGGAGCCCTGGCCCGCAGCATATGGACTGTGGGTTGAGGCATCCCGATGCTGTTGATCGGTCTGAAAAGACTGAGCTTGGTCAGATTCGCCCATGGGAACCTGCTGGGAGTTCTGGGAGTTCATGGTGAACACCTGGAAACATTTCAGCACAAATCCGGTCTTAGGCCAGAGCACAAGCCGCAATGCAATGACAATGGCTTGAATACGGTACGAGGTCACGAGGACACGACGATGAAACACAGATCTTGCGATGCAGAAACCAGAAGGAAATCACACTTGAGGGCTCTTTTACGGATATTAGACTCACGTATGACTTTGAACTCGAACGAATGAGATGAATAGTGATGGATACGTCGAGGAGTCCACCCAGCAAGCTTCCCTTGAGTTCGGGGGCTCAACTGGAACGTTCTGGGACTTGCTCGACGTCGTCTACAAAAGAAAGGAGAACAATAAGCAAGAGAATAAGTAGAAGGAGTAGAATGAGTAGTATGAGTACTGCGTTTGATGACTTGAGCTCGGTTCTGATCTCAGCTTGATGAAAACCGATGGATGAGAAAAAGAAGAAGAAGGAAAAGAAGAGAAGGGGGGAAGCGGAGGGCGAACGGCTGGGGGACGAGCAGACGAGTCCAATCTGGGAAGGAGCATACCCTCCCTCCCCTTCGGGCTCTCAGAAGGTAGCAGCGAATCCATGCTTAGAGCTTGGAGAAGCTCCAAGGGGCAACAAAAAGGTCGTTTTCGAATGATATTGCTAGATGTTCAACGTCGAAGGCAAACAGTCGGATCCCATGTTCTGATATTCAGATCTGCTCGTTGCAGACCTCATGCCATCCTGCGTCCACTTTGCCGAATGCAAAGGTCAATCGTCATGCAGTCGTGCTGGCATCTCGGCAGAGTTTCCTGAAGATGCAAGGCATCTTCAATCCAATTCATAATGGCTGAAATACTTTTGTATCTGTCATCATTGTTCCTTCCTGCGTTGACATTGAACACAGCTGACCTGATGAGGAACAAAGATAGAAAGCCGGTCAAGCCACATGTCCGCAAGCATCTATAACGGCAAGAACATTCATGCAAGCAACAGCAGCAACAAGCAAGTACGGCACTTCACACAAAGCCAGACAGGCGTGTGCAGTTCATGACTTGAGAATCTTGCTGCTTCCAGTATACAGCTTTCACATCTGTTCTCTTATAACTATACAAAGGAGTCTTCAATGAAACAGACCATGAAATCTGGACCTTGCAGCTTAAGCTGTAAGTCATATCATATGGAAAAAGAGACCATCTCCTGAGCAAGACAGACGTGTCCAAAGACCATAGTTATCACTATTTCTGGACCTGTACAAAAAGGTTAGTTAACTTATTCAGATTAATTTGAAGCATTAGTGTCATTCTGACTACTCACACAAAGAAACAAAGTGTCCTCTCTGTCCAAATTGCTGATATATTCTCTGTCTGTTGTCACAACATGCCCAAGATGTCTAAGGTGGACGTTGATGAGAGCATGGAATCTTTCGCGCCAGGGTCGGAATTAATTCCTTTGTGCCCTATCAGATTGTCCTTTGCCTAAAGCCGATGTTCTGCTGTGTTACTTCGGAATAATTAGCCTGATCGATCGGAGGCCGGCTTTTATTTCCGACTTAGGATATTCCAGCCACGTGGTGTTGTGTATGAGTAGAAGCACAGATGATCACAATAATATTAATATGGAATAGAGCACCTTGCGCCATGACCTTGAAAATCAATATCAATAATGAACTCATTATGTATGTACTGTGTAGATAGATCAAAGCCCCCAAGAAGTCATGATCAACACCCAGACACCCTCATAGCCAGCGGACAACTCAATCTGCGAATACCTTCCTCTGCTGCATATAATATCTATAGTCTCTGCCTCCCATCACTAACCCTACATTAGATCTGCCAAGACTTCGTAAAACTAGACTTGAGACAACCCATGGATCACCATGATCACGCCTAGCCAACTGAGTACAACGCGTGAAATCATAGACTCGAAGAGGATGAGAAATAAATCGAATCGAAAGACAGTACCTATGTCCTCCGCTCAAGCCTTCAAAATTTTTACGACACCTGAAGCGAAAAAAAAAGGAAATCTATTCAGAGAAAAAGAAATCGACGAGGAAATCATGACCACACATCCTCTTGGTATGTCCCACTGCTCCGCATGTGCTTGACAATGTCCTCGCCCTTCTCTGGCGAGAGGCCACGTTGCTCCGCAATAATCTGGCCCAAGACGACGTTGACTTCGCGCGCCATGTGCGCAGCGTCACCACAGACGTATATGTTAGCCTTTTGTTGCAGCAGCTCATTGACCAGCGCGGCATTTTCGCGCAACCTGTGTTGAACGTAGACTTTCTCCGGGCCTTCCCGAGAGAATGCCGTGAAGAGCTTGAACGAGTCTCCGAGCTTTTCCTCATAGGCCTGGATAAATAGATCGGATGCGTCAGTCACAGAGGCGAAAAAAACCAAGGTGAAGAAGGCAAGAAACAGAAACGGAAAGACATACCTTCCATTCATCTTTGTACAAAAAGTCTTCATTGCGATTCCTGCAGCCGAAGAAGAGAACTGTGGTGCCGACTTTCTCGCCCTGAGCAGCCAGAGCGGTACGTTCCTGGATGAATCCACGGAAGGGGGCGACACCGGTACCAGGACCAATCATGATGATGGGCTTCGAGGGATCCGATGGGAGCTTGAAGTTCGAGTGACGCACATGCACCGGGACACGAATGCCATCATACTTGTTCCTCGGGCCATTGATGGCGTATGTCAGGCTGTGGGGGTCGGGGTTCTCGTCGCCATTTTGTTTCTGCTTGAGAGCCAGCAGGTAGTTCGTCGTCACTCCCTTGACCACGTGGTCCGCACCGGGAATGCGCACCGACTCGACAACCGCGGTAATACTGATTTTGTCCTTCTGCACCAGGGAGGAGGAGGAGATCGAGTAGTAACGGGGTTGAATCCGGTTGATGCCTTCAATGAGCAGAGAAAAGGGGACTGACGAGAACGGCTTCGACGTCACACTCTGCAGCGCCTGAGCGATGTTGAAACACTGACTGGTGACCTTTTCGTGGAAGTAGTCCTTGTCATTGCCGAGACGAACCAATTCGGCCTTGGCTTCTTCATCGGGGGCAAACGCAGCGAGGGAGTTGACAAACTGACGAGAGACGGGAGCGCAGATTTCCATATAGTACCGAACGGCGGCGTCGTAGGTGGTCGGAGTCGGGAACGGAACCTTGGCAGTCACGTCGACACCCTTGATCTTGATCACAGTGTCGCGCTTCTCCTCCAGGCCGAAGACCTTCAAGAACCGGTCGACTTCCACACCGGCGTTGGAAGGCCAGACCGCAATGTGATCACCGGTTTGGTAGGTCAACCCGCTTCCAGATACATCAATTTCCATGTGCAAGCAGTTCCGATCCTTGGAAGTGAAGAGTTCGCGGGACTCGACGATCGGGGCAATGTATGGGTTATGAGCAGAGTATGGTCCTCGACCGCCACTCTCGAGATGGCCCAGGTTAGGCTCACCCAAGTACACCGAGTCATCCTGTGCAGACAGCGTCTCGTCTTCCGTGACCGCAAAGACGGGTTCATAAACCGCCTCACGTTCTTCCAGGCCCATTTCCGCGGCGAGAGCAGCCCACATAGGCTCTTTCCAAGCCAAAAAGTCTTCTTCCATTGTCCCGGCGCCATCATCACCTTCACCAGCGGCACCGATCCTCTTGGCGCCCAGCTTGGTGAGGGCCGCATCGACGTTTCGGACCATCGCGTTGTAGTGCTCGTAGGTGTTGTTTCCCAGACCAAAGGCGACGTACTTGAGAGAGGACAGGGGCTTGTCAGCGGCAGTGGCGCCACTCTCGAACGAGACATCCTCCCCGGTGATGAACTGGTAGAACTCGACGGCGTTATCCGTGGGCTCACCCTCGCCATACGTTGCGAGCACGAAGAATGCCACCTTGTCTTCGGGGAACTGGTCCAGGTTATCGTAGTCGTATTCTTCGAGGTCGGCCACCATGGTCTTCAGTCCGAATCGCTGGGACCCTTCTTTCGCCAGCCTCGAGGCATAGTCCTCCGCCGTACCCGTCTGGGAGCCATAGAATATCACGCAGTTCTTGCCAGTCTCTTCGAGTTTCTGGAGAATGTTCCTGGTCTTGCCCGGTTTGGCGCCATTGGCAGCCCCGTATGTGTTGGCATAGGGGTCTTTCTTGACAGCCCAGTACGTGCCCTTGGTGAAGTAGGCAACGGTACCGACGAGAAGGACGATCAGGACGATCAGGTCCAGCGTGTCGATCTGTGCCATTGTGCAGACTTGGAGATGACGACGAGAGAGAGGAGCAACAGGCAGCGGACGGTGAAGAGGAGCGAAGAGGGCACACCCTCTTCGATGGCACAGAAGTCCCTATTCACCCCGTTTCCAGTGACGGCTGGACAACCCGAAGAATTCTGGAGGCAGAGTTGTCGGGTTGGAAGAAGAAGCAGAATAAATTGTGGTCTAGGTGGTCTGATCTGTTAGTTAAAGCAGCGCCTACGGGCGCCGGTGGCCGACGGGGCAAGCACGGACCGACCGAGTGTCCAAAAGGCCAGAAAACCGCCAAGCCGGAGCCTCTGGTCGTTCCACCCCTGCAGACAACCCACACGACTCATGCACTGTCAACCGTCAAGACTCAAGGGGAAGCAAATTGCGATGCGCTGGCGA